ATATTATAATATTACGTATGAGAAATTGCATCGTCGCAAACCACAGCCAAAATGAACGATCGTCTCCCATTCTGGAGAGAGCTACATATATATACAGACTCCGACCGTGACTTGAGACGACGAAAAAATAAAGGCAGAAAAATATTTTGTTATTCTGTTTTTCTTTCTCTCTTTCGAGTAGTATACGAGGGGTTGTCCGTTAAAATCGTGGACAAGGCGTTTTCTCGAAAAATAATGGGCGCTGTAAGATGAAATTTTTAGCAAGCGTTTATTTATCATATTTTAGTGTATCTGAATTATTTTGATAAAATATAGAAAAATTGAATATTTTATTAACATTAGCGATCTATGTTAGCGGATCAAAGGATATGATTTTAATCAGATTGATTAAAGGAAGTATCATGTAGCTCAAATATGGTTCGTATATGTTAGTCAATAAGTAAAAAAAAAATTATCAAATTGCATATATTGCCCAATAATATCGCAGTTTTCAATAAATAAGATACGGATCTAGAGTTCCAGACCACCCCCACCCAACACACACCCCTTGGATTTTGCAGAGATTTTTTTTTACACTAAACCAAGGTTACTTTAAATGACCCTGGACGCCCCCCCCCACCCCCCGAAAACGCTGACCCCTCATCAAATAAGAGAATATGCTAAGTGGCTTTGAAAAGTACTAGGCTTCTATATACTAGTATGAAACTTTAAAAGTTAACCTCACCCCATCCTTCCCCCAAATAGGTTTTTCATGTTTGGGAAAGGAGTTTATGTTTGTTTGTTTGTTTGTTTATTTGTTTGCTTTTTTTTGTTTTTTTTTTCGCTTGTCAAGAAAATTATGGGCTGGATTGTTTTATTTGAAGTGGACCCCCCCCCCCCGGAAAAAAACAGGATCTGAGCCTGTACACATATGAATAATATGATACAGGAAAGATAAATGCCCTGATGAACAGGATAATCAAGGCTGTTACTGATGCGCAATATATTTTTTTTATTTTAATTCTTTATTTTTTTTTTTTGGGGGGGGGGTCGACATATCAATATCAATAACTCATGAAGTTTCAGTCAAAGTCTCACAAGATTTCGGTAACTTGTTGATTAAACATGAATTAAAATGTTTGAGAATAAATCTGGATAACATATTCGAAAGGATAGTAAAAGAAATTTACACCGTAGGGCTACAAGGATGAGACTTAATTGTACTCCTGTACACGGTGTGGTGGCATCTTTGCCATGGAATGCGCAGTAGACCTTGTTCCATGTGCATTTTGACTAACAAAGAAAATGGTTCCGCATTGCAATTTATGCTCTGTAAATGGCCATAAAAATGCATGCTCAAATTCAATTTTAACCAGGGGCCTTGGCCCCTCCCCCCACCCCTCCCTGCAGACTCTGTGCCCCCAGGCCCACTACTGATTTTCCTGATTTCTCCGAAAACAGTATCCCCCAAACCTGGAGTAATCGCTGTCCTATATTCCTTCACCTTATTTCTAAGCAAAAAAAGATACGGATACACTCACATCTTGCCTTAATTTCTTTTCTTTTAAAAGGGTCAATCTAATAGATAAAAAGGGTATATATAATATATATATATATATATGATCCCCTATTATATGTATTCCGATATACTAGTATATATGATTTCGATACCGATAATATATTCTATTAATAAATACATTCCGAGGTTTGCCAATTGGATCCTGATATATATAAATTTGCGGGATTTGCGTTCCAAAATAATGATGACGTAGAAAAACTTCCGCGCCATCTAGCGTTAAATCAGGTAATGTATGTTTTTTGCACGCCATCTAGCGACAATTCAGTGAATAATCTTTGGTTTTGCATTGGTGATCGTTGGTTTCGCATCGGAGTCTGTTGATTTTGCAAACGAGTCTGTTGATTTTGTTTTTAATGTTGTCTGTTTTATGTTTCATTATGTTTATAAAATTAGTTGTTAGTTTTGCATAAACGTCTTTTTTACCCTTTCCGCCGCCCATATACATGCATTGTGAAAAGTTGAAATAAACTTTTTATAATTTCAATATCATTTTACAAATTCTTACAACATTTTGTCTTATATTATTTAATGCCAGTCGCCATTTGTCGTAGCGGGTTTGCTAGAGTCACGGACCTGGAGTAGTCTATCCTTATGTCGCGGATTCGATTCCCACTGCGGGATATGGAGATCGACCCTTAATTCAGATCGAGATCCCGTGTCGCAGTAATTGCTAGCCAGAAAATATCTCTCACTGCTCAAAACTTTATTTTCGAAAGGGACGTTAAACAAACAAATTCATTCATGAATGCCATCGTCTTTTAGTACTCACAGTACTTTGATTAATGTCATTTCTGACAATTTTCCTTTTTCATTTCCAACATTTTTTTTTTCATATTTCCGGAATTTTTGCAGGGTCCCTGGTGATTTATTGTGAGCAAGAAGAAGGAAATGGAATTTTTTAGAAATATTTCAAACAATATTTTCAAAATATATGCCTTATGATTTTCATCAGATCGTAGCTTAGCTGATTTCATACTTAAAAAGTTAAAATTGAAAATGAATGATTTTGTTAAGGAGATGGAGGAAAATTCACAACACTTACATGTACATGTGCCTCACTGATAAGAAATCGTTCAAATTATTATTTTTGCTTCTATGAACATGATGAAATTAAGCTTAGCAATTATTTCCATTTCAAGAGTTTAATCATGATTCAATCTTTTCTTTCCAAATGAATTCTTTAATCTTACCTTCAGTGTGAAATGTTTTACCTGTTAGATATGAAAACTTTAAAATGCGGGAGATAAAAACTTAAAATGCCAAAGATAAAAAAAACTTTTAAATGTCGGAAATAACAGTAAGACTCAGCTATAATGAAGTCGCTGGGACCTATGTACATACATGTAAATTTTACTTCACTATATCTGTAATATTTTTTATATCTTTATGGGGAACTTGTTAAATTAATATAGCTGGGGATCCAATATAACTTTGCTTTATCCATGAATTTGCAATATCCATGTTCTTAATAAACAATTAGGTTTTACATGTACTGTAAAACTATACAAGAGGCCCATGGGCCTTATAGGTCACCTGAGTATTATGCAACAACTTTCCAGTGATTGAATTTGATTCATGTTTTAAGCCAGATGCTATGGCATTCACAATTTTGAAATAGGCACCATTGATCATCATATCAATACACTTAGCAGTTGCTTAGTTTGTTTACTTAATACCTATATGCAGGGTAAGGGAACAAAAAATGCATTTCAACTAATCAGTAATATTCAGCAATAATCAATAGTGCCCCTACCACACATGAACCCCTGACCCTTAGGCCTTGATATTTGATTAATACCAAGGAGCAGATTTCAAACCATTCATTCATTTTCAGTATATAAGTACAGCCCCCCCCCTTCTATGGTACCCTGACCCTGGGGCCTTGAAATTCACAATTCTGGAAGATATGGGCCCTTGTCCAGCATAACTATATAGGTAGTTCATCTGCTTAATACCCTGGAGCAGAGAAGAAAATTTTCAAAGATTTAATGTATTTTCACTATATAATCAATAGAGCCCCGCCCTGACACCAGAACCCCTGACCCTGGGGCCATAAAATTCACAATTTTGGTAGAGGCACTCTTGCTCATCATAACTATGCACTTAGTTTGTTTGGTTAAAACCCAGGAGCAGAAAAGATTTTCAAAGAATTCATGTATTTTCACTATATAATCAATAGAGCCCCGCCCTAACACCAGAACCCCTGACCCTGGGGCCAAACAAATTCACAATTTTGGTAGAGGCACTCTTGTTCATCATAACTATGCACATAGTTAGTTTATTTAATACCCTGGAGCAGAGAAGAAGATTTTCAGAGAATTCATGTATTTTCACTATATAATCTATAGAGCCCCGCCCTAACACTAGAACCCCTGACCCTGGGGCCATAAAATTCACAATTTTGGTAGAGGCACTCTTGCTCATCATAACTATGGGCTTAGTTGGTTTATCTAATACCCAGGAGCAGAGAAGAAGATTTTCAAAGAATTCATGTATTTTCACTAGATAATCAATAGAGCCCCACCCTAACACCAGAACCCCTGACCCTGGGGCCATAAAATTCACAATTTTGGTAGAGGCACTCTTGCTCATCATAACTATGCACTTAGTTAGTTTATTTAATACCCAGGAGCAGAGAAGAAGATTTTCAAAGAATTCATGTATTTTCACTATATAATCAATAGAGCCCCGCCCTAACACCAGAACCCCTGACCCTGGGGCCATAAAATTCACAATTTTGGTAGTGGCCCTCTTGCTCATCATAACTATGTGCTTAGTTGGTTTATTTAATACCCAGGAGCAGAGAAGAAGATTTTCAAAGAAATAATGCATTTTCACTACCTACTTATTTAGCCCCGCCCTAGCACTAGAACCCCTGACCCTGGGGCCATGAATTTCACAATTTTGGTAGAGGACTCATTGCTGATTACAATCATGCAAACAGTTTGACTGCTTGATGTCCAGGAGTTAAGGAGAAGATTTTTAAAGATTGCATTAATTTTAGTGGTTTTGGCCCCACCCCTCAGGCCCCAGAGGGGCAGGGACCATGAAATTCACAATTTTTGTTCCCCTTCAGCCATAGATGCTTTAGGCCATATTTGGTTGAAATTGGTTCAGTGGTTTCAGAGAAGAAGCTGAAAATGTTCAAATGTTAACGCACGACGCACAACGCACGACGACGGACGAAAACGGATAGCAATAGGTCACCTGAGTTTACTCAGGTGACCTAAAAATGTTGGAAATGAAAAGTTGAATATTCTGAAAAATTCCAGAATGAAATTCAGCCAAGCTAAAAATGGTATACATCTCAAAAACCACTTTTCCATTATTAGTAATTTCAAAACTAGTATCTATGCAAGCATCTTGAAATTGTGCAGATTCATATTTGATCAAATTGACCCCAGCAGCTTGTAGGGATTAACAGTAAACTTTTAGATAAAAATCAATTTTCAGTTGTTTATTAGTGAAAAAACTTAATCAAGAGTTGTTAAAACAAACAGCAAGGGATCTGAATATTATAAGTGGATCTGGTTCACAGAGAATGATACCAAGCTAGAGAGTTCGAAATAGATGTAAAGTCAATTCTCTTGAGAAAGCTTTTGGTAGAGTTATCCTTTTTGGCATCTCTTTTCAGTAAATGGGTAGCGGCCAACCAAACAACCGAAACCTTTATCATCTCCAATGGTGGAGATTCATTCTGGTTCAGCCATTCTGGGAATAAAATACACATCTGTACAATATCTGCAGCAACTTTCGGACTCGGTCTAAGATTAGGATCCTTCTTCAGTAACTGCTTTGTCAGCTTTACTATTGGTTTTGGTACTGCCACTGGAAGAGGTGGTAAGCTTTCCTCTGCGTATGAACTACTATTGAAAGGGCCTTTGTAGAAAGGATTTTCCTCCCCAAATATCTCATAGACTAAAGTTCCAGCAGTCCAAATATCTGACTTTCTGTAGTCAAGCCAAGCATTCCGGCCAGGTTCCATTGCTGCTATCTCAGGGGACATTAACGCAGCATTCCCCCCTTTGTCAATGTTACTGGTGTTGTATGGGATCATTAGTCCATAATCAGGTTCAGCTAAACAACAACCAAAGTCACTTATCACCAATTGTGGATACCCACTCGAGACATCTACCAGAATGTTATCGCTTTTCAAGTCTCTATGTGCTATGCCATGTTCTGTCATGTGTGCAATTCCTTCCAATAACTGGGCTAGCAGAGAGCATCTAGTATTCAAGTTGACATCATTTTCTGAAAGGAAGCTCTTCAAAGTCATGTCATATTTCTTCATCACCAAGAAGAGAGTTTTGTTTCTCCCAAGTCCGCTGTCTGGATTTAACCTGGTTGGAAGGGCAGCGGGATACCTTAAATCATCACTCTCGATCTTTGGAACATCGTCAATGAAGATGCCTTGCATGTCCACAATGTTTGGGTGAGGAGGAAGACTTTTGAGTTTCACTCGATTTCTGGTCAGCCAAATAGACTTTTCCTCCTGTTGTAGCAAAAACCTTGCAGGGATCATTTCCTTCATCATTCCCCTAAATATGACATCAGCATTGGATTCCAAATCATAATTGAACATCATCTTAATGGCCAGGCCATACTCTACCTCTGTCTGAAGAAGTGGTGTCTCATCAGATTCTTCACTATAAGTAGTAGTAGTAGTAGTAGTAGAAATATCTGGATTGTTTCCCTCTAAACGAAAATTGGATTCCTCAGGTATAATTTCAATGTCATCATCAGACTCATTTATGACTTCGAAACTTGATTCTGTGTCTGTTGACGCCTCTGTTTCATCTGTTGTGTAGGAATACTCATCAGGTATGTAGCTTCTCATCTCTTCATTCTTGAATCTTGCTTCATACACAGCGGAATTACAACCTTGCCCAATCAACTGTCCTATTTGGAAGTCTCTGAATGTTGCAGCAGAAAAATCATTCTCCTCTTGGGATGACGGATTTGTTTTCATGGAGAATACATTTCTAATAGAGCTTGTGACTTCATCATCTTCTTTGACAGCAGCTGTTGACAGCATTGCAGCCACAAAGGAGAAGATGGGTCGGCGATTCCTTGAAAAGTCCATTGCTGTATAATTGAAAAATAAAGATCATGTAATTAAAAATCCTTGTACCAAATAAGTAAAAGTAATGTAAAATATGTTGATCATTGATAACAAGAGACCCATGGGCCATAACGCTCACTTGAGTCAATATGGCCCTGTTGTTCATCATCATCATATTTTTTAAACAAACTCAAATCTACACAACCTCAAGTACTTCTACATCAATGTGACAACAAATGACTTTGCTGTTCTTAAGAAAAAAATTTGGAGATATTTTCCTTTACAACTATTCTGCCCACTGTGGCCCCACCCTTCATTAGGGGGTCACAATTTGAACAGAAGAGTCTACATTATGAAAAGAAGGTTTCATCGAAGTTTGTGGTTCTTGAGAAGAGGAGTTTTAAAAGATATCACCAATTTTCACTAATTCTTAATTATCTCCACTTGAAAGAGGGCAGATAATTTGAAGATATTTTCATTTCCATTCAGTCATTCACCTAGGACTGATGCTTTGTGGCAAGTTTGGTTAAAATTGGCTAAGTGGTTCTTGGAGAAGAAGTAAAAAATGTAAAAAGTTAACAGACAGACGGACGACAGACAAAATGTGATCAGAAAAGCTTATTTCAGGCTTCAGCTCAGGTGAGCTAATGAAGTTAGGTTTCAGCTCAGGTGAGCTAATGAAGTTAATCAACAAAAACTAAAACATTTTATTTGTTATCCTTTCATGTACAGTAATAAAATCTGATTACATTATTTATACATAAAATGTATTTACAAATTACAAAAAGCTGAGAAGACGGAAGTGTCAGCAGCTGGTCAGTGTGACACACGCATATACATATAGATATATTACTGGCATATTACCTGCACGATTTCGGAGTTCACGTGCGACAGTTGCCACAGCATACCGACTCGAAAATCTTTTTATCGCCGATGATGGTTTTGCTACAGGTGTGAAGACATTTTTGTTAATTTCGATGGATTTTTGTAAGATCTGTCCTCTGTGTTCCAACCCTTTGACTTTCCGCTTCAAAATGTTTTCCAAAAAGAGCCTGCCTTTGATTAACCATTTTTTCATTAAAAAGTTATTGTTAAATAAACCACTTCCAGGGTCTACGAGGGTTTGGACCAGCGGCCCAAACCCTCCTTTCGCAAACATCGTTGTTACACGCAGTACTTACAACCTCGCAGAGGCTCACGCAATATACTGTCAATGTTTATTTTGGGAAATAAATATCGCGTTGCATTGTGGTCCTCTTAAAATGGTGCGTTAGATTTCAATGCATGGGAATCACAGTCTGATTAAAACCAGCCCCTTCTCCTTTCACTCGTCAGGGACCCTGACGATTGAAAGGAGCTCAGAAGGGGGCTGGTTTTAATCAGGATGTAAGAATCATAAATATATAGTAGATGTTTTAATATTCGGATAAAATTCAAATTTTTGCAAGGGACTCTGGTCCGTCCCCCCCCCCATTACTTTTTATGAAATCCACACCTACTTCTTTTGTATGAAAGAAATGCGGGTTACGAAAAAAATATAACACATACCTCACACATAAGCGTTGGAAGGTAATTAAAAGTAGGAGGTGGTTAATCAAGGAGGGGGGTGTCAAACCTGAAAAGAACTGAACAGGCAAATAAATCTATAGGGGAATTTCGTTATCCAAACCTGAAACATGTTAAGACCCCCTCCCTTAGCGGCGTTAGCCCCCTCCAGTTCCGACGCCTATGTAACATGTGCATCACCATTCCCGCTTGACACATATTTTTCAAGTAAGTTGAAATTTGACCCCCACCCCCTTTTAAAAGCGATGTCATGTGGCTGTTGCACGTATGTATTTTTTTAAATCGAAATTATACGAAATTCCAATTTAATGATTAATGAATTATATCAGGGACATATATATATACTATTAGTATAGTTAGTGTATAGGTCCCTGATTATATGTCCTGACCTCCATTTCGAAATCATTGTTTTTCTTCAGTTTTCCTCAGATTAACTCCTTGGTTGGTCAAAAGCTCTACGGCGCTTTTGTATTGTTATTTGTTTGAAAATCTGACATTAAAATAAAATTCTTGATAAATAGACTTTGAAATTTAACTTATCACATTGAACATGTGGAAAGGTGATATCATAATAATGGCATCATTTACCATAATATATTTCACCCAATTTTACCACAGTCAACATGGTCAAGATCGATTGTCTTCAGCCAAATGCAGCTATATCACCCACACCATTCGCGCGTAATGTCGTTTCTACTTTACATGTAAAACATAAATTTGCAAAGAAACAAGTCTTACAGATCGTGCAGATTGATCGTGCAAAAACTTTGTTCAATGAAACTGTTAAATTTATGCTTATATTCAATGGTTGGCCTTGCATAAGTGATATTTTCCAAAAATGCCCGCTATAATGTTCCGATTTAGTATCCTTAACAGGCGCGGATCCAGAAATTTTTTCCAGGGGGGTCCACCCCAGTCAAAAAAAAAAAAATCCAATCCCAGAAATTTCTTGACAAGCAAAAAAAAAAAAACAAACAAAACAAAAAAAAAACAAAAAACCTAAACTTGCCCAAATGTGAAAAACCTATTTAACTGGGGTGGGGTTGGGTGGGGTGGGGTGGGGGTAATCTATGACTTCTAATGCCTCAAATCTTTCACTTTTCATACCCATTTCACATATTCGCGTATACCAGAGGGGGGTCAGCATTTTCCAGGGGAGGTCCATGGTAACTTTTTTCTTGTTTTAGCATATACATTTTTTAACCTGGTAAATTCCAGGGGGGGGTCCTGACCCCCCCTCCCAACCCCCCCCCCCCCTCTAGATCCGCGCATGCTTAAAAAATACAGTGTAAATCAAACGTGCCCGAAATTCGTTCCGCTTCAGTTCATAAATCCCGCCCACAATGGCTGTTCTATTCAAAGGCTTTTCCGAACAAGTAATAGATTTTAACAAATATGATTAAGATATTAGGCACATTAAGTATATATTTTATATAAAATATTAAAAAGGAACGATGTGTTAAAAATTTAATTTTAAAAGTCTTGTTCTTTTAATATGCTGTTAGTTTTCACTCTTCAAAATGAATACCAGGGAGTAAGTTATAATGGCAGTAATGTTTTGACACCTGAGCATGGTTTAAATGGGGGTATTAGGATACGAAGCCATGGATTAATTTAAGTGTGATTTTCAGATTAAAGGTCGGTATTAAGTTGTGAAAATATTTAAATAATCAAATGGCTTAAGTCTATCTTGTCTTTTGCTTGAAAATAACTTTAAATCTCGCTGCGGCATATTTGATGTCGTTTGGTGCTGTTAGCACGAGTTTGCAAGAGAGTGATTTCACTTGCCCTGATTGATAATTTGATTTTAGGACATTTATTAGATTGTTATATTTAGAAGATGCTGAGAATGTGCTGGATTATATTGAATCAGATTCTTCCGTTTTAGCATTGCAAAGCAGTAACAATTGCAATGTCGACATTCTCGCCGTGGATTGCTGCTTATCGATCAGAGAGTACTTTCTCAGTTTATGAAATGAACATACATGTGTAGGCCTATGTAAACAAACGGAAAATTAATTAATCGGCATTTTCTTTTATTACAGATGTGAAAAACGGCGAAAGAGGAATAATGGCTTCCTTGGGATGGCAGGGAACAGGTGTATGTTTGATTTTTCATATGATGATACTACATTATAGGCCTAGTGTGTGTGGTGATTCGAGTTCCATAGTTATTCCCTTTACAATCCCAGTGAATACATTCATAACGAAGCTTTCCACCAGCCATGCTGAATTCAACACCAATAGAAAGCTAGCCAAATCATTCTTCCATATCTCTGAGGATGGAAAATTAACAACGAAAAAGGAATTGTTTTCACATGTTGGAAAATCATTTTCTCTCTTTCTATCAAATGACTTCAATGAATATCCATTCATTGACACTTTACATTTAAACATAAGTCCCTCATCGGAGCTAAAAGCATTTTCCAGTCAGACTTTTTATGGCACGATTCAGGAAAATCTGCCACCTGATTCAGAAGTGAAATGGAAGGAAAAAATCCATCTAAATTTTCATGCAGTGAAATACACTTTACAACCTTCAAATAAAAAATTCATAGTGAACATTACAACAGATTCCACATCTATCTCTCAAGTGAAAATTGTGACTACAATTGAGCTAGATCGTGAAAGTGCGAGTGAATACAATTTCATTTTAAAGGCTTGGCTGAATGATTCTGTATACACATCTACCATTTTAAAAATCAAAGTCCTTGATATCAATGACTGCATTCCAAAATTTTCTCAGAAAATTTATAAAAGTACAATTTATCTAGATAGTATACTTGCACCTAATACCAAGGTATTGAAAATTTCTGCATTTGACCAAGATTTAGCAGATCAAATAATCTACAGTCTAAGTGGTACAACAGCCTTTGCCATTCATCCAAATTCAGGTTATTTGACTACAAATGCAGTACGTCCAGGAAGCTATAACTTCAAAGTCTATGCAACAGATACCAGTGGAAAACAATCACATGCATTAGTATCTATCCGCATCCTCCAAAGTACTCTAAAGTTTAGACCATTCCATCAAATTTCCAAACGTCAAGCAAAATTCATGACAGTGGAAAAAACCTATGTTGTTCTAGAAAATCAAACAGCTGGAACTGTTGTCTTCAGTGTGGCCTCTGTACCAGCAGCACCGCCAGGGACGGAGTTTTATTCCATTCTCTACGACTCTATTCAGGCTTTTCAGGTGGACACGAGGGGGAATGTCTACCTGAAGAGTGGCCGCATCCTAGATTATGAGAATCCCCAACACAGAAATGTGACAGTCCGCTTCAACATCACCTCCTCCCTATCCCAAGGTTTGTATCTTTACATTAGATTAATGTAGGGTTGTTGCTAAGACCCAGGGGCTGGGGTATTTGCACCTGTAATGAAGTAACCCTCTAACTATACTGGTATTTCCCCTCAGCCCTTAGCTGGGGGAGAAACCCAAAACTCCAGCTCCTGTATTTTAAAGGCCCCCTACTATTTCAATCTTTGGGACGATCCTGAAAGTAGTTGAAACTCTCAATTTGTACATGTTATATATGCTTGTCATAATCCAGTTTTCAAAGGTAAACATCAACTACACCTGTATTAGATTTTTATAGTGATGGGAAATCAGAATTCTTTTCATAATTTGATTATCGGAATAATCGGATGCACTATGATCGATTATTCATCGATTGATTTTAAGCATTAAATTTGTTCATTTTTGAATGAAGAATACACAAGTTAAAATTTCTGGAGTGATTTTTAGAACACATTTTTTGTATCATTGGATTCATTTATTAGATAATTATTTAGGATTTAATTAAATTTTAAGAGGAATGAACAAAAAATCAAAGAAATAATTTGCTTTTTACCAATATTTTGATTAATCAATTATCAGTCGGTTATCTGGAATCAGAGGCCATTTCCATTCAATAATCAATTTTAATCGATACATCACTAGATTTTTAGCTCATTTATTGAATGATTTGAAATTGTTATGTAGATAGGGAACTAGGTTTGAAGTTGATATGTGTAAGTTGGTTAAGTGTAGTGCTGTGCGATATTACCGGTTAACCGGTGTATCCCGATTTTGTTCTTCACAATACGTATCGCGGTATTATTTTGTGAATACCGGTTCGGGTTCGATATCCTATAAATTGTTACAAAAAGAGTTATTTGCCCCTTTCAAGGTAAAATATGGCGGCAAGCAGCATGAAGCAGGGCTCCCACTGGACCGAAAATATTTTTCGCCACTTTTAGCGACAAAAGGAAAGGCATACTTACATCTGATTTCTCGACAATGCAATGCACTTTATGTTAGTCCTTTTTTTAATTATGTTTATCTGACACAGACATTGTTTTAAATTTGTTATGTTTAAAGCTTTAATAATGGTAGTATCCATTTTAAAAAAAACTTATGTTTGAATTATACAATAAATTTGATATTGAATTGATATCAATCAACTCTTGACAGAAAATGTTCTCTTGTTTTTTTTTTTTTTTTCGCCGGGGGGGGGGGGATGAAGACCTAGTATTAATATGACATTTTTTAAAAATGGAAATTTTCATCATTTCATTAATCAATTTGTGAAAAGAAGTAATTAAAAAGTAATGAAAATTAGGTTTGAAAGTGACTTTATTTTAACAACTTGGATACTCCAGGGTTTAATATGCAAGCTCATGTTATTGGAAATAATTCAGTGTAATTTACTAATTAAAGATAATTCTGTTTCCAAACCAATTTCTTTTTCACTCTTTGTCAGTTTATGGTGTATTAATGTACACATTTTTCAATTTTAATCAGGTAAAATTTGAAGCCATTCTTTACAATTTTCGTCATGTTTCCCTACTTTCGGTTTTAAAAAACGATCTGCATAGATCCAGATTTTGTTGATAAAAATCTTTTATTTTCTAACTTCATATCCTAATAACACTTTATACCGCCTTGTTTAATCCAAATTATATTATTTCAAGCAATTTTGTAATCCTTTATTGCTCCAGGCCAGTTACCTAGTCAGCTGTGTTCGTTCAAGCGAGACGTGATTTCCTACATGTAGGTTTCAGTTTTCACACCTCTGCTGCATTAAATTAACATAGGGACTTATCTGTGTACATTGAATAAACAAAGGAGCTAACCAGGACTACTCAAATTTTGTACATCAAAAAAATTCGTTTTCGCCACTTATGAATTTCTTTTCGCCACTTTTGAAAAAAATTCGCAATTGGCGACAATGGCGAATCACAGCTCGAGCCCTGATGAAGTTTGATCGGAAACCAGAGACATGTCTATCAGAAATGAAAAGACGACAACTGTTACATGAAAGCCCTTCATGTTAAAGCAGAATCTGAATATTACATTTTGATTCTTAAAGTTGTGCCAAAAAAATTAGCTTGCCACTTGCGTACACACAACGCGATCAGGCAGTTGTAATATCAACTCGAGAATACATGGAATTTGAGTTTTTGTTTTCTTTTAACATTGATGAAAAGCAAAATTTATTAAAAACTTTATATTGTGATATATTGCAATACAAAATATAATATTGCAATATATCGCGATACGATTTTTCAGCCGCGATACCCAGCTCTAGTTAAGTGTGGTTTCATCTAAAGAGGAGTTGATTTATTATTCTACCAACAGATGTTGAATGTTTCTCTATACATGCAGGCCACTGGGGTAACTGTTGTTTGATGCTGACCTTAAGACATCATGTTCTTCAAGTTTATAGTCTCTATAACCTGAAGAACAACATATAACTTTCTGCTGTTTGATGTACAGTTTCACATCTACAAGGGTTGTTCGAAAAGTTCTAAGTGAAGAAATATTGTGACCGAGGAGTTTAAAACACAATTTTTACCAATTTTTAACATCTTGTTGTTGTTTTTTTTTTAATTTGAACAGAATTCAGACCTTTTTATAAACAACAGGCAATGATAACTTTTCATTTTTTTTTAAAATCATTTTTTGCTTTAAATTCATTTTTATAAAAAACTTTCAATTGTTTTTTTTTAAGAACTTTAATGATCCTGTCTTATAAAGCGTATGTTTTAAAACTGAGTCATTCATCATTGTCAGTACTGCTTGAACTAATGCTGCACTTACTGTGCTTTATCTCTGATGGCATTATATCTCTGATGCCCAGTATCTATTACATGGATGAGAGGTCTATATCATGCTTAATATGCTGAACAAATTTTAATGAGGATAATTAACCTATCCCCATTCCATACTAATTGATACATGTATATAAAGTGGCAGCTGCTTAAACTATTTAGGAGATATTGTGTGGCTATGAAACTGATATCCTTTGGTTTTCTTGTCAGATAGATAGATCTCTTAAAAAAAAATATACCGATAATATATGTATATGTATATTTATAAAATATGATAAACTTAAAGATACATGTTTATATATATGAGAATTTAATGAAAAGAATTTCAAAATTTTTACTAAAATGTCTTGGTTTGTGGGGAGAGAGAGAGAGAGAATTCCTGAATAAGAGGCACAAAGACTAATTGTGGCATTTGTCAGACATTTCCATTCATTTTCCACTGACAATTCCCCCAATCTATCTTTGAAATCCCAAGTCTTGCTGAAGTTGATCCTAATAATTGGATTATATAGGCCCCCAACAAAGCCAGAAGAAAGCTAGTAAAAGTAGCACAGCGCCTAAGGGGTGGGCAAAGACCCATAATTAGTATCACCCTGTCTTAGCTGTTTGTAAGAGATTGACACTCTTTGTAATTTTCTCTGTAACTTGTCACAAAGAGGGTTTTTAAAGTTGGTGTTAACAGTAAGTTTTACAAATGCTTGCTTTGACCAGAAGTGGGAAACATTTTATGACTTTATACTGGACAATACAACTATTCAAAATTGATGCATTAATAAGCAAACGTCTGATGGTGTTATCAATTCAATGTCATGATCATAATAGTTTCAGTAAAATATTCTTCTTGTGCAGGATGTAAATAGTTTTGTTAAACGTAGATCATGCACACCCTTTCTGATCATCAGAACTTTATTGGGGTTTTATCTGTAAATCAGACATGTGGCATGCTAATTTTTACATTGCATAACATTGGACTGAGTCATATTTCTTTACAGTATCTCTTGTTGAGGGTATTGCAGTTCACCCATTATAATATTGGCAAGGATGAATTTTGCGGGATGAAAAGATTGCATGTTTATGGACAATCAGTCATTCATTTTGCTCAATTTTCAACTTTTGTTCTGTTAATCATAAATGAATTAAAAATCTGTCGATATAGGAGAAAACAAAATAATTAAATTAGAATTTGGGAAACAAAGTGAAACCATGGTCAACCTACAAGCTGTTTGATGAAATTGAAATTTTATGGAATATATGACTCCCGATTTTGGAACTTTGGAAAAAACTGAATTATTTTAGAGTCGATTTCAAATGGTGACACTTCGTGACTTTGTGAAAAATGCAGTATAAATTAACCCTAACAAAGATTGATAATGTTTATGGTTGGTGCCAGTCTAGACTAAGCAGGGTATCTAAAGAGCAGTTCCAGGTCACCCAGGGTCATAGAGAGCAATTACAGCTGTTAGATAGGGGCCATAATTGTCAGGGGTGCTAGTGCCATGTGCCATAAACACTGCAGTGATTTATGAGGCGTGAAATTCACCCTCATCACAAATCTGTTGATGGAAATGAGCATTTTCTGTTCATTTGTTTGGAAACTGAAAAAAAATTCTATACATGCCACAGAAATTTAAGGAGAATGGTTTATTTTGTTTGCATGCACACCCCTCAGACATTTATGACTTCTTTAATTATTAGGTAGAAAGCTTTCTGTTGTTAAGATTCCATGCATATGTCAACTTGACCAAGACCAGGTGAAAGGTAGTCTTTTACCTGATTTCTTCCTATTACTAATGGTCACTGTCTGTAGACTTTGTTTATTTTGCTGATCTAAGTTTGTATTGACTTGACTGATACCTTGTTATTCTGATCTTTCACTTGGTGCACACAAACAAAATGTACCTGCTCTGGCCCTTTAATTCTGGTGCTAGTACATGCTGTGCTAATATTTTTGTTTTGGGTAGTGGTCTAATTCAGTTATTCTAGTATCTCCTTGTGACTGTCCTGCTAAGACTTTACTCACTCTAATGTGTGTTAAAACAAACATATTACATGATGTTCTATGTGGTAATAAACCTAGAATAATATTGATGGATTATAGGCAAGATGTAAAAAATCGTGTTGTAAAGCATACATGTGTCCATTTAATTTTACAAATGCCAAAAGGTGCTTTGATGATGTATTTCAGTGACTTTTAAATCCGTTTATTGAAAGCTCTTACTTTACAATCGATCATGTTTTTTGTTAATAAAAATGAAAAGTTATGAATCATTAGCATCAGATTACAGAAAATTAGCTGGAAATTCAGAGTATTGCTGTAGTTGTTAATCTTGCTATTAGATACAAGAAGCACTACCACCTGATTGTAATAAGAAGATGAATCACGGATCAAAGAAGCTGTATTTATAGGGAGCCTTGTGTTTATTAAATCTAGTCTCCCATTTCATCCTATGGTCTAGGAGAGATTTTCCCCCAACATGCTTTGATAATTGATTTGATGTATTGTAATGGGCACCCTTATGATGAAGTTCTAATTCTTCTGGTAATTAGATTTTGAGGTCTGCATTTTGCACAAGAGACTCTGACTGGAACAGGTCTTTGGTGATCCATCACGTTCCCAATGTCATTCCTATAGCATTCTCTGTAACACTTATTGGGGGATAAATAAAATCTGTGCGAGCTTGGGCATCAAGGCAGTTAGTCCAGTAATGAGTTAGTTATACCCTCAAGGAATAAATGCATTAGCAGTTGGACTCCTGTATGATGAAAATCAATAGAATTTAGAAGCATGAAATCAAAATTTACTTGATGGCTTTCAAAAGCGTCTGAACAAAAATAACACTTGTGTAGTGGTGTGGATGCCTGCCTGGGTAGCTTAATGGTTAAAGTACCTTACTAGTGATCCAGGGGCCTGAATTTAGTTCCTGGTCAAATCATAAATGTGTTCCTTTTCTTTTACATATATATTAAAGGGTAAAGCCATATTCCCTGTTTTGAAGGCACATAAAAACTAAAAGTCTGTTCTAATAATTTTGTGAATTTTAAAAAGTACAGAAAAAGATAATTATTTTTAACTAGTATAAAAGTAGCTATATATTTAAATGTAATAATTTTTACAGTTATAGTAATGTACCCTTTCTGAGGATCTTAGGATTCTCAATTTTGATTTTACTACATTGTATAAAATTGAGGATACACATACAAGATTATTAAAAAGATGATCAATGGGCACTCTTTAATTAAGGAAAACTAAATAATGCATATTTTATGAAAGCGAGATTGGTTTTCTCCAACCCATTAACTTCCTATAACTCAAAGGGAAGAAAAACTGGAGATGAAAGAACATGAAATGAATTGGGACAAAAGAACATGTTCGCCAGTTGTAGAGCATCTTGATCGATTGTGTCTGAGTCAATGGAGAGTTACCTTAATTTATCTGGAAATGACAAGACAACAAACTTGGTGGTCATGACAGCAAAGATGTGGAACTCTTCTGGAGGGCCACCCAAATCAATACTGACATGCACACATCTCAGGGGGATAGAAAAGCAAATGAACATGTGAAGCCAAAAAAATAAATAAAGGATGTGCAAGATTTTTTAGTTGAAATCGAGAGGAAAAAGTCCATGGCCTTTATCAAATTCTTGGGGAGGGGGAATAAATTTATATTTCACCTGAATTTCTTTCTACTATTTCCTATAAAAATTTACAGTGATGGTGTGCATTCTATTGCTAACAGATCTAGAGGTTTCCTACTTGAACTACTTCCACCCTGAGAGAGTTCTGTTAAGTAATATCTTAACCTTAGCAAAAAGAAAATACAATTTAGAAACTTATACTTCACATAAAATATAATTTAAAAAAAAATCATTTTTTTAATGCTGTATGTTTGTAATTTGATGATTCAAAAAGAGAGAAGTCCTTATTTGAAGTCTTTTCGATAAGTTTAAGAAGGGGGAAAGCTCCTTTCAAATGATGTTCCTTTTGATAAAGGATAAACAGCATCAAGTGCCATTTTTTCGTGATCTCGCACACAGAAAAAAAATTTGCTCACAACTTGTGTGCTGCTGTTTATCGATCAGGAAGACTCACAAAGATTGATGGTCTGGAACAACTACTATCAGCCCTTGATGTATTGATCTAAAGCAAAGAGTTCTGCTGCAGCCAGACACATTTTGATGCACCCAAATAATGATAGCAATTATATCACAAACATCAATATTACAGCGATAATAGAGCCAGTGATGTAATGTTAAATATGATACTGTTGGATGCCTTTGAAGAGTGTAATGGCACGAAATAATTGAAATCCCCATCTGAGAGATGCTGTTGTGTTGATTGGCGAATATCATTTGTTTTCTTATGAAGATTAAACCTTGACAAAGAGGGTGTTGTAAATGTGTGTGTGTATAAGTATTTGGTCTTGTAAGGTTGAAATCAAAAGAATTCCAATGTTGGAATGATATTTGATCAAAATGAGGGAAGATTAAGGAATAAAGAGCTCCAAATGTTTTTGTTGTAACTTGAATTGCAATTAATGCAAAAGGAAATTTTGCATAAATAAAATGTATTTTATATATATTTTTATTTTTGAAATCATTAGACTTATAAGTTTTTAAAGGCATTTAATTTCTGGCGCTTTGAAGTTAACTGAGAGACCCATGAGTTTATGAACACCACGAAATGTAAAATTTCATATGCATTGCTACTAAATATTTTTCAACCACGAAATGTCATCTCCACAAACCAATATTTTTCCCACAAACCTGGAAAATTTGACCCCACAAAAATGTGATATTACAGTACTTATTGTATTAAAAATCTTGATCTGCTCAAGATGTGTGGTAAATCATTTTATATTTTGTTGTCTTTCTGCTTTTTCAGATTACCAGATTTGGACTGTACATTTGAATGTGACAGATGTAAATGATGAGAAGCCAAGATTTGTAAACCAGCCTCACCCATTCCTAGCCACAGTAGCTGTCAATCCCAGAATAGGAGAACTAGTATACGAACTCCTAGCAACAGATCCTGATACAAACTCTGATATACAGTATAATCTGGTGTCTGGTAAAAGCATAGTTGTTGATGAATTTGAGTGAAAATTAATGATAATTTAGGAAATGCTCTATAGAAATAACAAAAGGATTGCAATAGCATGCTTTTTAATCAACAGATCAGTTTAAAGGAAAAAGAAGTATATCTAAGACTCATGATAGCAGCATACCGTATATGCGGTTTTTTTACACGATATTCTTTTTTTCGCTTTTTTGCGATCATTTTTCATTCGCAAAATATAGAACACGCAGAAATTATGTCAGCTATAATGTGACATAAAACATTACCACTTTAAACAAAAAAATCTTCAATCATAAAAAATAACTTACGCAGAATAAAAAATGTAATATCCTATCCCTTTTTCACAAAATTTTCAATACGCAAAAAAAAAAAACGGATATACGGTATATATTTATATTATGTACAATATATAAATTTTTATCTTTTTTTTTATTATTTAAAGTAAATATATGGTTATCATGGTTATGGTCATGTGAATTTAAAAAAAAAATTTTTAGGTGGAGAAGGGAAATTCACAATAGAGCACATAGACAGGGGCATTGGTCGACTAGGTCGCATAGTGACGACAGTTAATGGGAATGGACAGTTCATACCGGGTCAGGAGTATGAACTGGTGGTCTCTGCTCAGGACCTGGGGGCCCCCGACATACAGAAGTCTAACTTTGAAGTTGTACGCGTGTTGGTGGGCTCCAGGCCCCCACAGTTCTACAGCTTTTACAAACCTTATGTGGCCTTTATCACCGAAAACAATCAACCGGGATACAAGTAAGTGAGAAGGTTGAGGATTAGTTAGATGTGCATGGAATAAAATATTTTCTTCATTATCGGGGTATTTAGTGTGGACAAAATGACATTTTAGATTGCTCTGTATGCAGTATGGACTTGCATGCCTTGAAACAATTTTGTTCTTGTAATTAGATTGTGTTGTGCTGCATTTCAATTGACTCTCTGAAGTGTTCTTTATAGCCCAATCTTGATAGTATTTGAAGCTGCAAACTCTATTTAGTATCTTTTTTTAAAACATTTTTTATGTGTCTCCTGTGATTACAAAAAGGCAGTTCTAGAGAAGTTGCCCAATTAAAAAAGAGAAGGAAATGCCATTTCAACAGTTCTAACAACTTGTTTTATGGGGTAACAGTCATACCCTTTATCAACCTGGGTTAGGTCAGATTGGTGCTATTCTGAATGGTACAGACACTGGAATGAGATTCTGTGACCGAATACTTTAGATAATGACTGATCTTTTCCTCCATGTGGTTCGTCTCACAAGGACAAGTCGTTGGAGTTTTCTGATAAGAAATTGTTGGTTTTTCTTTTTGTTCATTATTGTATCTGAGACATGCAGGCTACAGAATACATGTAGAGATAACTGATAATAAAGAGTAGATAATTTATTTCAATCACAATTTTCATATAAAGGACAATATTAAGTGTATACAATAAATGAATTGATAACTCGGTATATTATCACTTCTTGGGAATTGTCATGGAAATGATCTATATGAATCCACAAAGTGATATTACTGTATGAAAACAACATTTAAAGTATTTTCATTTGAAAATTAATAAACAACAAGATGTTAAAATAACAGGTTGGCAGAATGAAAGCTAGAGCATAGCAAAATGAATATAAAAATGAGATTTTTGGATAAATTGTGTCTATAGAACATTTTGAAGTAAAGTATGAATTTTTGCCAGAAAAATGTCCAGTCTGTATGTTGAACTTGTTAAAAGATGCTTTCCTCAGATAATGCTAGAACGATTTGAGGGTTTAAGAGATCATGTGTATGCACGACTATTTATAAAATTTTCATGTTTCAGAAAAATGCAAAACATAATACAGGATACCATTTTAGCAAGTCTAATTTCTAAAACACTTCTCTTAGGCAAAAAAGGTATCAGCTGATTTATCAGGGGCAGCAATTGAAGCTGAGTCACTAGTTTTAAATTGTGATTTACAAAGTCAGGAAAAGACCCTAAATTTGTTGAGTTATCAGGAAGGCCTGACATTTCTGTCATCTGAAGATTGCTGGAGATCTTTCAGGAGAGAGGATTTAATTTCCAGTTAAAGAGTAATTTGACAACTGCCTTAAATACAGAAACATCCCAGTGGGAATATGTGGGTGGTATATTTTTTCCAATAATCATTTCTGTGCCAATTTGTTCTGTGTAACATTCTGTCCTTGATTTCCTTGTTCAGTCAGTTCTGGGCTCTCTCAGTGGATCTTTTTTTAATACTGATAAACATCAAATCAATTTTCTTTAAATTATCTCGACATGCAACAATTTCGATCAGTTTGGAATTATGTTTTGAAATTAGATTTAGATTTAGATTAGATTTAGATTGAAAGAAAATTGAATTGCTGTGAATTGGTTTTTTTTTTTTTGTTTTTTTTGTGAACATTTGAAATAAATCCAAACTAAGACCCTGAAAAGTGCTAAGCATTTGTGTATGTATTCATGTTTTTGTATAGCATTGGCGAGAAAAAGTGTGATCTAGATATTTCAACATTTCAACAGTTCCAGAGCAGATGATGGTATCATGGTAAATACAGCTGCACTCTGTGTAAATTGGGCTGGGAAAAAACTCATTGTTCTATAAATATAAACTCTCCCTGTGTAGGATGCAGAAAACTTGCCAAAATATCAGCAAGTGAAGCAGATTTTATATAGCTTTGATTGGAAATGTTACATAACACCTATAAAGTGTCATTTTATAGCATTTCAATGTACACTCTTAAGTCATGTTGTGAAAAACTTGATCCTTTCTGCAAGAGATGCAATTTATATGCATATATATGTATAAGCACTTATCTTTTGGGTGTTAGTGTATTTCAGGCACATCTCTCTCCATATCTCTTGTCTTTAGCTCCCTTGGTATAATTATAATGCTGAGCTGTCTTACTAAAGGTTAACACATTATGATTAAAGAATCTTGTGAGTGCTGCTGCTGCTATTTTTGATAAAACTATCAGACATTAAATTCATTGGCAACCTGTATAGCTGAATTTGTCTTAACAATCTGATAGGAAATCATATTCAATAAAAAGGAAACTAAATTGGCATAGGAATTTTTACTTGATTTCTTTTCAAGTTTTTGAAGTGAAAAATAACATTTGATAAAAATCATGTATGGGGTATAAAGCATTAAATGAGGTGTCTATGATCTTGATGAAAAAAAAAAAGTAACTTGGTGCAGAATAACGAAATGAAACCATTTGAAAGCATTGAACGTGAGTAATATTAAATAATGCTAACTTTTATAATCTGTAGGTTGCAGTCAGAAGGAACGACTCTGATTGTCCAAGCCAAGGCTTTCCAGTCTAAGTCTGACAAGGGGGCTGTGGAATACCAGCTTACAGACAACTCTGGCTACATCAGCTCTGTATTCTCCATCAACTCTGAAGGGGAGATCGAGGCCTTACAGAGCCTGGACTACGAGACTTCACCTCACACTTACACCCTCAAACTTATAGGCACCGAAAAGTCCACAGGGCTCAGTAATGCCACCCAGGTAAGATCTCAGTGGGTATTACTTACTTTATATGAACATGGATATGACTGTATATTTTAATAGTTTAACAGTTATATCAGAAGAAAAAAAAGGCATAGATTTTGAATTAATTGTATGAGATGCATGGATTTTCCGAAGTATTATTAAAAATGACAATTTTGAACAAACTCTAGAAAATTCTGTTATGTAAATTCATAGTTCCTTTTCTTCATTAAAAATTCTCTTAACTTACTTCAATTTTTTTTTAAAGAAAACATTGAGTGACAGAATGTCTTTGTCACAGAAGTACCCAATGCACATATGCAATACAATTTCAATGCATATTCATATGCATGTATTTCTTATGCCTGTTCTATTGCATTTCTGAAAACTTTATAATAAATATTAAGACCTTTATCTTTTCAGTTGATTGTTCACCTCGAAGACGACAATGACAATGCTCCAGTGTTTGAATTATCTACTTATACCAATGTCACAAGTGAAGGCACACCTGTCAACGCAGTCCTGTTTTCAGGTAAAATTCTTCACAAAAATGTATTTATTTTAATGAAGATACCTAATTTTGGAAAAAAGAAAAAATAGATTAGTGGTTGACCATCGTGAATGGTGTTAAATGACAAATGATTATATTTGGACAGTGACAGCAACAGACAAAGACTCCGGGTCTAATGCTGAGCTGACATACACTGTCAGTGATGATAGCTTTGTCATAGAAACCAGAAAAGTCAATGGAAAATACATCGGGGATCTAAAAGTGGCAAAGTAAGTTATTATTAGTTATCCATTTAAAAGAATGGATATTTAACAATAGGAACCTTATCTGAAAAGTGTATAAAATCTAAAAAGGATTAAGAATAGATGTTGAAAACCAATTAAAAGCATGTTTTTTGTTGTGAAGTGGAACTATCATGATAAATTTGTGTTGTAGGAGATTAGATTATGACAGTCGCGCTGATCGCCAGTATAAGTTTGACGTCAAAGCCACCGACCACGGTAACAAGTCGTTCTCTGGACAGGCCAGTGTGGTGCTGTACGTGACTAACATTAATGATGAGGCCCCGGTGTTCAGTGAGGAGAAGGACAATATCGTGGCTAAGATCCGGGAGGATCAGAAGGCGGGGAGTTATGTCACCACCGTACAGGCTGTGGACCCTGATGGGGACAACATCAAGTACTACTTCTCTCGTAAGTGGCTTTAATGAGGGATTGATTGAGATTTACTTCTTCTCTCTTGCCTTATTACTTATTCTTGCTTATATTTGTAAACATGCTTATTTTGTGATTTTTCTTGGGTGAAAAAATTGATTTGCAAGAGAAATGATTTTTATTTATAAATTTTACACCATATTTTTGATTTTCTATTTTGTAGCAAAGCATCAAGTATCAAAAAACTCCTTGTTCAGAATCGAGCCAAATTCTGGAATAATCACCCTGACCAATACAATTCCTCCCAGCATTCCCAGCTACATTTTGAATGTGACAGCATACGATGATGGAAGTTGTTGTGGGGGCTATCCTCGACTTAGCAGTAGTTCCTTTGTCATCATTAAGATCATGGACATTAACAACAATAATCCCACATTTCCCAGCTGTAATTATGCACCTTCAGTGTTGGAAAATCAGCCACCAGGAACAAGAGTTGTTGATGTTAGTATCATTATTAATATGTTTCTGATGATAGCCATTATATTTTAAAAATTCAAGTTAAAATTTGTCAAACTCAAAAGGTGTAGAATAATTTACAGTTGTGTAAACTGACAAAATGTATCTTGATAAAAAAGTTTTTCTTGTACACAAACAAAGTTATTTTGAAAGAAATATTTTGAAATCTTCTATTACGCAAAGGGTAGATGCAAATTTAGCATGATGACTTTATTCTTAAAAAAATATTTTAATATTTTTAGGTCTTGGCAACAATTGACAGAGATTTAAGAATTCTCTGTTGTAACCCCTAACAACCAAGAAAAGAACTTTGTCAAAGAAACCGTGGTTACCAAAAAACGTGAAAGTTGGTTTGTTACTCGGTCACCATCAAAGCAGAGGATCATGGGGAATCTCAACAGCTGAACACGCTCTGTACTTTCTGGGTGAGGATTCTGGACATTAATGACAAATGTTTGATAAATCCGAGTCGTAAAATTGCTGACCTTGGTCAGGGTACCAGTTCAACAAGGAAAAGTTCTTGTGGACAAAGACAAAGAAAAATGGAGAATATTTTTTAAAAAATTCAAGCAAAGGGGCAAAGCTTTAACATCTGTTTGACTATTATAATTAGAATTGTTAATGATTTTTTACAGGTCATTCATTTATTAATGATGTTGTACAGTACGAGGGTTGTCCCAAAAAGTCGTAGACAATGTTAGTAACTTTTTTCACACGCAACCAATACTAACCAAATTTTGCATAGACATAATACATTCAATGTTCCTTAAAACTGTGAATTCTTAATATATATCTTTCATATTAATTATATTGGGAGATTTATATGAAGGCCATAACGGCGCACGACCAAAATTCGGAATAATTTACACATATAACTATTACATTTGTTTTTATTTCTTTGGTACTATGTAAAAGATTGAACTAAAATTTAAATCACTGAAACCAGAATCAAATCTTAATAGTATGTCAAATTTTCATATAAATAGCATTAGAAATAGACAACTAGTGGCATGATTTTCAAAGTGTTGTTCGAATTGAGATTGATGAAAAACATGTCGTCGAACGCGTACCCGGCGCACGGAAATGTAATAAATTGTTTTTGGTATGTTTTATATTCATCAGAGAAGGGGGAAAAGAGTACAGAAAGGACATAACACACTAGATTTTAATAGAAAAGTTTTTTTTATAGTATGAGATTCAAGGATAGTTTTTCCTCTATATCGAAAAAAATAATAATTGCATGTAAAGTAGAGTACTGATTGTTTAACGCAGATATTTGGGAATGCTTTTGGCCATGAACGTCATCAAACAAGGTGTATTCTCTGCTGCTTAAAATGTAATGTGATCTTTCAACTAATTTAATTTTGACTAAAACTTGAATCTGCTTAAGAAAACGGACAGTAGTGAATTTAAAATATTCCCTTAGTCAAGAGTGGTTTTTCACTATAAAAATATTCATTTGGATGTTAAAAGATGCATGTAAAGCAGAAAAGGGACCATGACGTTATGAGGGACGTAAATTACGCATGCTTTTGTGCGCCGATGTACACTTACATGGTTTCTTTATTTTTTCATAGTTTTCTTATTTAATGTGGTATCGTAATGAATCTTGAAATACATGATCATAAAATGTTACTCTTTACTATGGCAGGAAAAGAAATTTGATTTAGCAAAGAGAAAATAAACTATGTTCCCTGTCTACGACTTTTTGGGACAACCCTCGTATTTTTTGACTTTGACATGTAAATACCTGATGATTTTAATGATAAATAGTAATGCAGTTTGTAAGTTGGAGGGACATGAAAGTTGCTCCAATATTGTCAAAATATGTTTCAGTCATATTCAGGAAATGCTATTGCTTCTATATTTACAGCTTTACCAAGAGAAAATGATTTTGAGAATAATGGCCAAAGATAAGGGAATTCCCCCTCTCTCCTCCAATGCTACCATAACTATAACCTTGACCACAGGAAACCAGAACCCTCCCACGTGGAACGACAACTATGAGGGTCAGACATACACAGTGAATGAAACCTCCCAGATTGGGTTCCCGATCGCCACATTCAGTGCCACCTCCCATGTGGACCCACCACTGGATGGAGTCAGTTTTGCTTTGGTGGATTCCAACGGGAACTCTCAGCAGACTGTGGAAAACTTCCGTGTGGATTCCCAGGACAAGACAATGAAGCTTAAGGTGGCTAATCCACTTGATGTCAGTGTGAAGAGTCTGTATACTCTGAGATTGAGAGTGACGGTAAGTTTTTGAAACTCGGGAAATTTTTGGTTGGAATTTTATGGAACCTTAAGGAACTGAGTGATCCACCATAAATATCAAATATGAATTTTCTAGCCATTACCTGTTAGGAAAGGAAGAATCACATTATTGAGCTATAATACTAAGTCATTAAAAATATGGATCCGAAAGTAAAAGATTTCTGCAAGACTATTTTACATAGTTGAAAGAGAAAAAACCCTTAAATCACTATTAGGGATGTCAACGAATATTCGAATATTCGAATATTCATTCGATGAGTTGATATTCGAATATAAATTTGTGATTCGAATATTCGTTTTTAAGTATAGAAGCATTAAAAAGAGAGAAAAACCTGGCAAGTTTTATTAGAAATTGAATCAAATTTTTACAAAATAAAAAAAAAACACTCCTCTTGGATTACCTTAAAGGTGTGAAGAGTGTATCTATCAGAGTAATTTATTTATTTCTTCACTTTAGTGGTATAATAGTTTCCAGTACTAACAATCAGCTTGTATTGTTGTAAGGACATAGTTTTAAAGTAAACACATGGACTTCTTGTTTATGTAAATATCATTAAAAATCATTATCAGGAAATTATAATTAGCAAAAAGTAATTGCTTTTAATATTTCACCATTAGATATTTGTTCTGTTTGATATACATTTGTAGGAATTATCAGTGTAGACTTTAGTAAGACGATCAATTAATCCGGAACATATTAAAGAATTTTTTTTAATTTTCTAAAAACAATCATTACATTTTGGATGTGTACTATTCAATAATTTATTTAATATATATAATTGTAGAGTATTTACCGAACTCTCCACTAGTTTTTATTCTAAAATAATGGCATGAAACCTATACTGCTTTAGAGAGTAAAGACATATATCTGATAATGCAAAATGTATTTATTTTATCTTACGAATATACCTCTGAATATTGAATATCAATTATTGACAATTTTGACATCCCTAATCACTATATTCAAACACTTTGTAGAATCAAGGTCTTACACCTCTGTCTGATGAGATAAGGATCACGGTGAAGGTCCTAGACATGAACAACAAGCAGCCACAGTTTGAAGGACTGGACCCCACCCTCAGTAATTCCTACAGAGGCAGTGTCCCAGAAAATGAGGAGCCAGGACAGTCAGTCATTACAGTCAAAGCTGTGGATCCTGATCTCCAGGCACCAAATAATGTGGTAAGGAATGGTGATGGAATGATGTTTAAAAGGGGAAGGAAGGAGAAAGGATTAATTGGGGGGGTCATATTTTGTGTTGTGAAAAAAAAATTTACTTTGACGAAATGAAACTAGTTCACTCAATTATAAAGAATCATTCAGTGATTTTAATTTTTGTTAATTTCTGTGGCCTTCTTTAAATTAATTCAATGATGAAAATAATTCAAAATTATTTTGTAAAAGAAATATCTTTTGTATACTTAACGTAAATGAATTTTTTCAAATATAGCATAAAAATTGTGTTTTCAGGTTAGCTACAGTCTAGTGCCTGATAGATATGATGCCTTCAAGAAATTCCAGATAGATCCCAATAGTGGTTTAATCTCCACAAACTACACCTTTGACAGAGAAACCATGAAGGTGTACTATATTACTATCATGGCACAAGATGGAAGGGCCTCAGACATCCCATACCATGAACCCAGAGGGACATCTAACTCTGGTATGTTACTGAGTGGTCAAACTTTTTCCTTATTTTATATTCTAAAGACGATAATCGTAGGTCAAAACAGGTCCACAAAATTAGTTTATCTGTGCATTTTTGTGATAATCTGTTTATAAAGTTTATAATAATATATATTTTTTAGAATCTAAAAAAAACAAACTGAAAAAAATTACTGTAATTGTGATTTGAGGTCAGATGTGTTATATAGTATCATCTTTTGCAGCCACAACACAAGTGATGGTGACCATTGCTGATAAGAATGACAACACGCCTTACTTTGAGAAATTGTTATATGAGAAGGACGTTCATGAGCAGCCAGCAGATAGCAGTAAATCTATCCTGACTGTCAGGGCCAGGGACATTGATGATGGTTAGTAGGAAAAGCTGATATTATATCAGCATAGCTAAAGTGAATGAGTAATTTGTGGTTCTGTATCAACCATCTTGGTACTGATGTGGATTTTTTTTATACTAAAAATCAAATTTATGTATAGTGTACATTTTACATGTGATGAAAAAAAAATTGTACTTGTATGGATGAATGATATTCTGCCATTTAGGAGATCTTGTATTTAGTACAGACTTTGTTTTTCAGCTGACACCCTGACCTACACAATTACAAGTGGAAACACTGGAAATGTCTTTGGCATCAAGTCCAAGACAGGGGATATCTATGTGGCCAAAGATCTAGATTTTGAAACGCCACCAAATGTGAGTTGTAAGAGGTTTTCAATTGTAATTTTAGCTCAAATGAAAGCTTCAGAGAAGTTAACTAAACTTTATTATTTTTCTACAGTTGTACAAGCTGAATGTCACTGTCAGTGATGGCTACCATAGCAACTACACAGAGGTCAAGGTCAGGGTGAAGGACATCAATGACAATGCCCCCGAGTTTTCTCAGTCAGAGTATATTGTCACCAGTGTAGTGGAGGAACAGCAGCCACCTGCTGAAGGATTGTTTCTGATAAAGGTAATAGGATAGTCCATATACAGGAGTGAAGGCTTCATCCCTATTGATTGACGAACCAAGACAAAAATTTATTTGCAGGGGTACATTTAATTTGCATTATGTGGGTAGTTTCTCCCCATATATTCAAAATCTCCATATTTAGAAATTTAAAACATTTTTATTACAAATATTACAAATTATCTTTAACAAAATATTTATCAAGGAAATCATGTTCAGAAACTAAAATTTCAGCTGTTTATTTTTCGAAAATTTGTCCTCAGATATATATGTGTTCAACTGTTATGATTGTTAGATAAAGGGGAAAAAGTCGTATTCATACCAGAATTACAATTTTGAGCATGGTCATGAAGAAATAAAATACCAGTAAAGAGAGTCATTACTGTGATCATTCATGTTAGTACAGTTGAAAATTTATTTTATAGGTTAGTGCAACAGATAAGGATACCTCCAGGCAAACCAACTTTAGGTATAGTCTGAATACAGAGTATCGGGATACTTTTCAAATCCATCCAACATCAGGAGTGATAACACTACACAAATCTCTGGACCGAGACCTTCCTTTTGGTCATGCAGAGTACCAGTTTAATGTCCTGGTTGTCGATGAGCCCAACACTGAAGGGGCCTTGGTGGGATATGCTTATGTCAAGGTCAAACCTCAAGATATTAATGACAAGGTTCCAGAGTTTACTCGTGAACTTACTGGTTTTGTTCCAGAAAATTCTGAAAAAGGTAAAGAAATATGCAGATTTTATATTTTTAAAGGACTCTCTGAATAATTTGAAATCTGAATGTTTTCAACTTTTATTTAATCATACGCCAAAGAAAAATATATTTATTAGTCATTTTATTATTGAAATCTACTAATTTACGAATTGCTTAATTATTAAGACTTTTCTTTACAGGTAAAATTGTGATGACAGTTAGAGCTGTAGATTACGACTTGGGAGAAAATGGCACAGTATACTACACCCTTGGGAATAATCGGCCAGCAGATCCCAAAACAGGAGACAGTTTGTTTGTGATAGACAGCATCACAGGGCTAGTCAGATCCAACACAAACACGCTGGACAGAGAAAAAGTGGACCAGTACATACTGCCCGTCATAGCCACAGACCGAGGAAAAATCCCTCTTAGCAGCACCGCCTCTCTCACGATTCAAATCACGGACAAAAATGATGAGAGGCCAAGGTTCAACAAAAAGATTTACAGAGCCACGCTACCGGAGAGCCAGACTTCAGGGTTGATAATCACAGTGGCTGCCACTGATGACGATATCGGGAATAATTCTAAAGTTACTTACTCCCTGAAAAGTGACCTCAACTTCTTCTCCATCAGTAGCCTGCCTTCCAATAAAGGGGCCCTCAATGTCTATAAGGTACAGTGGGTTTGAATTATTAATTGGAAAAATTAGGTCTGTACATAGTTAGACAGTTGAAAAGTTTGCTTCAGTTTTATGCTTCCTATGATATAAAATATGAGAGAGACAAAGAGAGCAAGCAGATTATGTATAAATATACAAAAGAAAAAACTTATTGAAGATGTACATGTAAGCAAGCTTTAGACTGTTAAAGCAAATTTGGGAATTATATCTACAGGGGTATATTCAATTATACTTTTGCTGTTACATGTATATTTGCCATCAAATGATGATGAAGCTGTTCATACATATTGTTATTAAAAATGTGCTAGTCTTAGAATATCCTATGGAGATTGAAGGTTACCAAACCATGTTGTCATTTCAGCCTGTGGATTATGAGGACCCCAAACAGCGGTTCTTCAATCTGACGGTCCGTGCCAGGGATAATAACCCCCTCCATTATGATGAGGCCTACATAGAGATCACAGTGACTGACGCCAATGATGAAGCCCCTACGTTCACAGAGCCAGTTAAAACTGACTATTTTCCTGAGAACATTCCAGAGAAATTCCTGCTCTATACCTTCACAGCCTCTGATAATGACAGCTATCCTAATAATCAGTTCTTGTAAGTTTTTGTTTTGTTTTGTTTTGTATTTTTTTTGTTTTTTTTTTGTTTTTTTTTTCAGAATGTTAATACCCTATAGGTCAAAACTGAACCCTGACCCCCCCCCCCTCCCTTTTAAATTTATACGTCCCACTCTCTAGGAAAAAAATAATACAACCCATCAATATAAAAAAAAATTGCCCTCACCCCTCTCTGAAAAAGACATATCTCATGTTTTGCATTATCTCCTTAAAATGTTAATTCACTTTACATTTTCCACTTCCATTTTCAGTTTCCAAATTCGAGAACATTCGGACAGATTTTATGTGGAGCAGGAAGGCAATCTGGCCCATGTAAAAATCCAGGCTGGTTTGGATGGTCAGACACTGGACAGAGAAACAAAGGACCAGTACAACATCCAGGTCTTAGCTATTGACAAAGGTAAGTATATTGTAATGCTAGAAGTTTGTTCAGTACTTGAAAAGAGATGTAACTATTTACTGACTTCAGAATCTCAGCTTTAATGACTTTGTATTGAAACTGAAAAATCTGTTTTCAGGCAGTCCACCAAAGACAGGCTCTGCCACCTTAAGGATAAAGGTGACAGACATTAATGATAACCCTCCCACATTTGCGGAGAACTACAGACCTATAGTGATGGAGGAGACTGATCCTATTGTGACAGTGGGGACTTTCAGTGCTATGGACCCAGACACACTTATCTATGGTCCTCCATTTGTCTTTGAGCTTCCACCGTGTGACGAGAACCCTACTTGTCATAATGGGGATCAGAACTTTTCTCTCTTTTATGATCCAAGTAAGTTTAAATTATCAATCTTGTAAGTTCTCAGTTTCCAAGATTTTATGTGATATTTAATGTTAGACTAGTATCTACATGTTTATGCTTTTCACTACAAGTTACAAATGAAATTTCAGAAGTATTTGACCTTCTTAGGAATTTTGTGTTTTGCAGGAGTCATCATACAGCTACTTGGAACTTGTATTGTTGACGGAACAGAAATTGTTTTAACTTCTTTTATTGCTGAATAAGTTTCTTTTGTGGCTGGATAATAAAGTTTTAAAATTTGTTCCTATTTCAGATGGTGCAAAGGGAAATGGAACTTGTACAATATTTGCCAACAAAAGATTCCTTAGAGAACAAAAGAAGTTTTACCACCTGCCTATCATCATGAAGGACATGGGTGGGCGGGGCAAGCATATGAGTGGCACCAGTACCCTCACTATCGAGATAGGGGATAAAAATAACAACCAGCATGTGGATGGCTTCAAGGAAATCTTTGTGTACAACTACAAAGGTAAAATAAAGCAAAATTGTTTCTTATACAGCAAGCAGTAACATAAAAGAAAAGGATGTGTAGTATGTGTGTTCTAATTTTGACTTTTCATTAGGAAAACTCCACCTTTACATTTATTCAGTTTAATAATTGAGAAAATACTCAATTGTACATGTCTTCTTTCTGTTGTGCAGGTTATAAAAGTTTAATACTAAGTTTAATTTTTTCCACCAGGTATGTTTGGCAATGTAGAGATTGGGCGAGCTAATGCTAACGATCCAGATGACTGGGATTATGTAGATAAACACTACACCATGATCAGCCGAAATGGGATGGAAAAATTTTTCAAGTAAGACAAGGAGTTATTCATTGTAAATTCACTAAATTGCATTGCATCCAATTGCTGTCTTTCTCAAATGAACTTAAAAAAAAACAACATTTTACATTCCTTGATTGGCTCTAAAGTGACCTCACAAAGTCTCAGTAAAAATTGTTTTTCAGTGTCAGTAAGATAAATGGCACCATTACAATGATGAGAGGAGTTCCTGCTGGTATATTTGAATTTAAAGTGGAAGTCCATGATTTTAAAGTATTTACAAAGAAAAATGCTACAGCCACCATAAAGGTGATAGTCAAGGAGATATCAGAAGAGGCAGTGTATAAGTCAGGATCTGTCAGACTAACAGGTAGGGGTGAATGGACATTATTATCATGGTCCAGTTATTTATCAGAAAGTGCTTATATATGTCATCTGTTTATTGCCTTGTTTATGAAGCTTGTGTATTTCGAAAGGTTGTTCAGAGGTGATGTAAACTTAAAATCCATTTCAGTTAATTTAATTGTTTTAGATGTTTTTTAATCCAGAATGTCACCTATAGATACTTGCCAATTTCTATAGAGTCAGTGGTATCTGACAAGTTTTACTGTATTTCTATACTGTGTACATGCATGTTTATATGTTGTTTTATGTTCAAGAAGGTAATTGATCAGGATAAGGTGAGAGAAAAAATAGGCTGACCCAGGGTTCATGTGTTTTACTTGTGATATTCTTTCTTGTAGACTTGCTTAGTTAAAATAATGTTAAGAAAATATTTCAATTAAAGGCTTTTTTATACGCCCGTCTTAAGACGGGACGTATTATGTTATAGGCTTCGTGTCCGTCCGTCCGTCTGTCCGTCTGTTAGCTTTTCTCGTGTCCGGCTCATAACTTAAATACTATAAGGCCTAGAGTTATCAAACTTTGTCAGCTGATACATCTTGGGTAGAAGGTGTGTCGCGCACAAAAAGTAGGTCGCTCTGACCTATAATTAAAATGTTATAGCCAAATATGGAGAAAAAAACCTGTCCGGTCCATAACTAGAAAACTATTAGACTTAGAATCATCAAACTTTGCCAGTAAATGCATCTTAGGTAGAAAGTGTGTCGCAACCTATTTCAAGGCCACTATGACCTTTAATTTAAGTGAAATTTAAAAAAAAAATGTGTCTTTTTTTTCTTTTCATTTACACACTCCAAAAAATGTAAGAGTATTGCACTTTCCCTATTAAAAAAATGTTAAATCAAGAAAATACTTATTTTTTTAGCATATTCTTGACAGCAATCTATAACAAATATAATGTATCAATTAAATAGAGCAGAAATAGTAATAAAACCTCCTATGTTCCCTATTAGAGAAATTCCACCACTCCCATGAGTGTAGTTATCAAGCACTGGTCAAGAAGAATTTTGATAACAGAAAATTGCACGTCAAATTGGAGAGAGAAATTAATGAGTTTAGTGTGAGGAGTAGCTGGTAGAGCATCAGTGCTATCTATTCCCACTGGGTATTGGGCAAATGGGGTTAGCCTGTTGGATTAAAAATAGCTCTTGTTGACTAGCCTAAGTTTTAAAATGAATTTGATGAAAAGTAATTAAAACTAATTTGATATTGCATATTAAACTCATTTGATATTACATAATATTATGCACTTAAAAACTAATTTTATGGGGTGGGGGTGGAATCAGCATGTCGATATGAATTGCATATTAAAACCTGTTTGACATTAAATCTAAAAAAAAAATCATTGATGTTTTAGATGTTTTAAAATTGTTTTATGTAGATAGTGCAGATCAAATAATCTCTTGGGAGTAATGAGTAGACAAGCATCCATTTAAAGATTAATTAATGTGCTCAATATAGGAAAGCTAGGCATCTCAATCATTTCTTCAGAGCATTGACTTATCTGTATCCTTTGGGAATTAGACAGAAAAACTGCTGGTCAGTTTATATTTGATGGCCAGCCTTTTATTTTCAAAATTAATTAGGTATAGATTAAGTTGTTAAGACTACATGTAATTTGATATTTTTTTTATATGATGGGCATTTGGCAAGGCCTAACACAACCAGTATAGAAATCTATGAATGATACAATATTTGTTATAATCAAAGCCTACACCACAGGAGATGGATAAACAAATATTTTAAAGAGTGGAAAAATCATGGAAAATCTTAAAATCAAGGTTGACATCAGATTTTCTTGCACTTTAAACTGTTTAAGATAATTGTGATTTTTTGACGGGCGTATCATGCTGTGGCGTGGCACTTTATTGTCAAATTTCAAATCCTATTTGCTTTTCATTCTTCAGGAATCACAGCTGAGGAGTTTGTTGAAATACCTAATGCTATGTCAGGACAGAGTCATTATGATAAATTCCGCAGACTTCTGGCCGAGAAGTTGAGGGTCCCCTTGTCCTATGTTGAGATCTTTAGTGTGATGAAGAATGGTCCATATGTGGATGTTAGATATGCTGCACATGGGTCCCCATGGTATCCAGCAAACAAACTGGATGGCATCATAGCCACAAATAAAAATCAGGTAATTTATAACAATGAACTGATCAAAAATTTTTATTATTCATCCAGGTTCAATCAAGGGTGTACGGGGATTTACTCCAGGCCTAGGTTTTATTCCATACACCCTGAGGCCGCAGGCCGAAGGGTGTATGGAATACAACCCGGGGTAAATCCCCGTACACCCTTGATTGGACCTGGATGAAAAATTTATTTCCTCTGAACCCATACCAATTCTGTGAAAACATCATAGTCTAATCAACTGTGTTTCTATCGGTAAGATAACTACGTACTACAATGCATTGTGACATCACTTTATTTGGTTTTCATCATAGAGAAAGTATGCATTGTGACGTCACGTTTTATTTACCCCCGGCTGAAGTCGGGTGTACAGAAACTTACACCCGACTTTAATTTGTAACCAATCAAAGCTCATGTTACAAGTAAGATAGGAAATAATGTGTTGTATTTAGTAATTGAACTCAAGAGTGCAAATTTAGGGATTAAAATTTTAGCAGTCCACTATGAAACTACTGAAATAATTAAAGTTAGCACCTTCTAAAAATTTCTGCTATGTGGTATATCATTTTGCTTAGAATTTGGTAAGATAATACATATTGAATTCAGCTTTAAAAGTTAGCTAATTAATTGAGCAGTCAATCTTATCAACTGTAAATATGAATAATTATGCTAATTTATATAATAATATAATTATACCGGAGGTAATTATAATTATAAAAATTATGCTAATTATGTAAATTATAATTTTCTTTGAAAAAGCATTTACTGTACAGTTGTACATATGAATTTTTTGGTATGCTGTAATTCAATAATAATTGTTCTGATACAGTTTGCTGCAGCAGCTGGAGGTCAGATTGTCATGGTTAACATTGATGAATGTCAGAAGGAGATCTGTGAGAGTGGGGGATGCTCCAATGTTCTGGTGGTGGACGAGAGGAAACCTAGCGTGGTTAACACTAAGACTCAGACATTTGTGGGGCTGGGCACCAAGGTAGTGGCAGAGTGTCAGTGTAAAGCCAGGGACTTCTCACGGCCACTCAAGTGTACCCCAGACTTCTGCTTTAATGGAGGGATTTGTATTGAGGACAACTGGGGGGACATAAAGTATGTTAAATTAATTCTATTTAAAGTCATATATTTCTATATTATAAATATTTAGGTCATCAGAATCAATAAGCGAAGCTGTTCCCATCTTTTGCCAAATGGTGATTTACGATGTCCATCATTTGAAATTCCATAACTGTCAAAGAGAAAAGACAGCATTAAATTTTTGTAAAAATGTCTCTTTTTGTTTATCTGGATATTAATAAAACTTGTATGATTGACATAGATGTGAATGTCTCCCTATGTTTGATGGATTCCGCTGCCAGCAGACGACACACAGTTTCTCCGGAGGATACACACTATACCCTCCCCTGGCTCAGTGTGAAGAGAGCATTACCAGTATAGAATTCGCCACCCTAAAGGAAAGTGGACTCATCTTCTACAATGGCCCAGTGGACAAGATGAGAAAGGGAGACCCCCAGGATTTCATTGCATTGTCACTAATTCAGGGTTATCCTGAGTTGATTATCAATCACGGTACAGGAGCAGTCAGTTTGAGGGTGATGGGTAAAGACAAAGGGGGGATCACCAGAATGCCAGTCTTAAATGATGGAGCCTGGCATCACCTCAACATCATACGGAAAGGAAGGGTCAGTTGTTTGATAATACTAACAACTATTTTAATAGTATTTTTACTCTTGCAACAAGATGAGATTTAGGATACTAGTAGTCAAAATGACATATGCATCTTTAAGTTTCACATAAACTGTAGCAGACTATGTTGAAAAATTCTTTTTAAAAAAATCACCTTTCTAGCTATGGAATCTTTTTTTTTAAATAAAATTCTAATGATTTGAATTGCACATGTGCTTGCAGGAAGTTACGCTGACAGTGGATCACTGTAAAAATGCACAGTTTGATACCCATAGTGAAAGCAGGGAAGATCGGCGACCTTGTGAGGTCACTGGGTCAACATCAGGTCAAAATAAGTACCTCAATGTTAACCAGATGCTTCAGATGGGAGGACGTTACACCACTCCTGACTTTCCTCAGGGAATCACACAGGAAAGATTTGAGGGATGCATCAGAAACTTGTACCACAATGGAGAGGTTAAATTGAATCAAGATAAATTTTTTTCAACTTGCAATATGAAATTAATGAAAGTTATGCCAAAAACACAGAAAAATGATTTATATTGTTAATTTGCTTTAGGAATTGAAGAATTCATCTAAAAGTACATTGATTGTAATAATGGTCTTGTCTGAGATCAGAAAAATTTGATGAAAACTTATGTAATCCTTAATTTAAGTTCTGTAATTTTTCCAGCTGTATGACTTGTACACGAGTTTGAATCACCCTGGAGAGAATCATGGGAATGGTTGTCCGGCGGAGGAGTCGGCCTGTAACAGTTTGAGTGGTAAGAGGTGTGGTGACCATGGAACGTGTCAGATGATAACCCTCGGAGACTCAGAGGTGGAGTGTGTCTGTAAACCGGGGTATCGACCATCTACGTCAAAGTCTCCTAAATGTACCCGAGGTTAGTGTTCAAAGTAAAATCTTGTAAAGTTAATTGTGAAATAAAAATATGTACCCTTTTTTCTTAAAATTAAAAAAAAATTATTTGCAAAAAAATGAATGCAAAACATGTACAAATTAAGTAAAGTTATAAACTAGTATCTAAGTTGTGATAGTTATCGGCACTTTTGAAATAGTAATCTATATTTTTATGTGAAAAGCAGTTTCTTTTCTTTTTCACATGTATTTTATCTTGGCAAACTTAAATTGCTTTGAAATTTCAGAGACAACAATCAGGAATTATACAGAGAAAGCATATATGACATGGAGTCTGAAAGATAACTTCTTCAATATGCTAAGAAAGGATAAATTAGACATTCACATTAAATTCAGGACCCGCGATCTTGATGGAGGGGTACTTCTTCATCTGCCATCAAACTCACATGAATACATATCAGTGCAGGTATGTTATCTTATTTCTAAGGCATCACAATTTCTTTATTTCAATTTACAGCAATTGGTATTTTGTGTATTTCATCATTTGAGAAGATATCCTTTGATGAAGATTCTTATATTTTACAAATAATGTATATTTCATTCATTTTAGATTATCAATGGCCATGTTGCTGTGTTATACAATCTGAAGGACTATGACAATTCTTTTGCGGATAATATAATTTCCCTCTCAGAGGCCCCAGCAGCTAATGGCCAATGGCACAGTCTCTCAGTGAAAAGGATTGGGAGATGGTTTCAGCTCAAGATGGATAGTGGAGAAGGGCGGTACTACAATGAAACATGGGGCTCAACACAGGATAGTCAATTCTTTAACCTCAAGAGGGATCATATAGTATCGGGGTCAATGGTGAAGTTTTACCCTATTGCAGATTTCCATAGCAAAGATCTTAGAGAGAGTAAGTTGTTAAATTAAGTCAAAATTAAGTTCAATTTATTTTTCTCTAGAATAATTTTTTCTTGAGTTTTCATAAATATGTACCGGTATGTATTTTAAATGGAATTTGAGATACAGTATTATCAAACAAAAAATAAATCAAATACGCTTTAGTTAATGCCTATTGTGTGGTATTTTACAGCTTGTGTGACAGACATCAGGATTAACAATAAGTGGTTCCCCATGATGATTGAGGAGAATAGCCAGAGTGATGCAGCGGAGGTGGAACTAATATCGGGGGTCAACATGGGTTGTTTACGGGACGACTGTGCCCAGGCCCGCTGTCATACCCTAGGACAGACAATCAAACAAATCTGTGTACCTCTCTGGGGAACTCATGACTGCAGGTAGGACTCTTGCCGTGAAGTCTCTATTTATGAAATGAAAAATATTCTGGGAACTTTGATTGCCTTTAGTTTCATATACAACAAACTACCTGTTACTGTTGTACAAATAAATTCAAATTTCTTATCTGGAATATTGTCTAAACTGGCCAATTTCTATGGAACAAGTCTTATAACTCTATTGTTTTCTCTCGAAATTGGCTTTTATTTCAATATGATAACACTCCCTTTTCAGGTGCCCTCCTGGCAGTGAGCCTGGGGTAGGTAGCACATGCCTGGCACTGGATCATTGTCAAGGCATCAATCCCTGTAAAGCAGGAGGTACCTGTATAAACCTGCCTTTCCCTGGGACTTTCCGTTGTATCTGTCCTAAAGGCTGGATTGGCCCCACCTGTAACCAGCAGGCCAGTGCTGTGGAGGAGGTGGTGGAAGCGGGGGGCATCAAGATGGAGGTCCTCGTCATCATCATTGTTAGTCTCATAGCTGTTACTTGTAAGTGCTTCATCTTTTAAAGAGATATTATTTAATATATTTCATTACATGAGAAGATTATTTGTTTACAAAATGCATATGCTAGATACTATTTTCAAGAGTTGGTATGTGTAAATTGAGAAAGTACTAGTATTTTCAGCAAAAGTATATTATTTAATGGAGGCAGTAAAGTCATATTTATTTCGTATATTATTTGTACAAATATTGTAGTGTTTATTTATTTACTGAGTACAGAATATTCTCTCCCTTTCAAATTAACATTGTTTTTTCAGTAATTGCATTCCTGGTGTTTCTACTGTGGCGGTCGCTCAGTAAGCGAGACAAGCGCAGGTCTATTCTTTATGATGATCAGTATGATGACATCAGGGAGAATGTGGTCAACCATGATGAGGAAGGGGCAGGTTAGAGGAACTTAATGCTTAAATAAACTTAGTTCTGTATACCAAAAACTACTTCTGTTTATAAATCAGTTTTGTGTGATTTATTTTCATGAAATTATTATATTACGTTTCAATAAGACTTGCTACACAATTAGACTATATAAAGAAATACAAACATCAGCAGAGCTACAGTCCCTTTAAACAATTTGGGTTTGAAATTTTCAGGTGAAGAAGATCAAACCTGTTATGACATAACAAGGCTACGGAAACCTGATTCTAGTTTTGATAGAGGATATTACTATTCAACATTGTCAGCTAAATATAGAAAAGGTAAGTTTGAAAATTTGTATAATTATACAGAAAGAAATAATGAATGTCATTCACATTTTATCTTGTATACATAATAAAATCACTTGAATAATTGTAAAAATGTGCATTATAATTAAACTTCATGCTTTAATTTGTAGGTTTACCATTAGATAGTCCAGAGGTTGCAGCTTTTATTTGCGACCGTATCCAGGATGTGAATGAGGACCCCGCTGGACCACCCCACGATAACGTGATGGTGTTTTCCTACGAAGGAGGGAGCAGCACTGCCGGCTCACTGAGCTCCCTCAACACAAACAGTAGTGATAACGACCAGGACTACGATTACCTGAATGACTGGGGACCAAAGTTCTCAAGTCTCGCCGTCATGTACAAAGGGGATGAAGTCGATTGAGAATAAGTTATTTAATAGGGATTTTAATGAATATTTTTGTAAGTTCTTTTTTGTACCAAAGATCCATGTTTCCATGTGTGCACTAGTCAAAAGACAATGACTGTCTTATTTCATATACACATGTCCAACTCTCCCCAATTTTACAGATTGAGGGTTTTTTGGTCATGGTCTATAATGTAGGGATGAAAACTTACAGATGCAAAATGAGCTATTACAGTATGGATATGCAATATGGTTTTAGAAAATGTCAGATTTTTTATCTGATAAGTCTTAAATGAGTTTTTTTGAAGCTAGTTATGCAGACAAAGTTCTAGTCTTGATCATTGCATTAAGCACAGTTGATCAGCATTAATGTTTTTAAAGTCTATTTTCACACTAGTCTATTGAAGGTTGTGAGATTTTCCCTCTTATATTTTCAATTTTAAACAAAAACCTGTTTTTATCACTACACAAATAATTAATCTTATATCATTGTTTTATTTTCCCACCAAACAACTGTGCCAAAGTCATAGTAGCCGATTTTAAAGAAAATTTCTCTTATATGAAATTTTGCTTCAATTTGAGTGATCATCAGTAAATATGTAGAATTTTATACTCACATGTTCGTTGAAGAAATAATAATGTAGGCTTAAGGCAAATCAGGTTAAATTATTTGAAAACATTCCAGTATATGTCCAAATGTTTAAAGTTCTGTAGTGTTAATTTATTTCATGTTTAAGTGTCAAGAGCTACATGTATTTGGTGGTTTGCACAATGTCAAGTCTTTCATGAGTCTTGGTTATGACTTATGTTAAAAGTATATGTCAGTTTTGGTATCTGTGAACATTTTGCTTAGTTACCCATTCTAAGATTAAAATATAAAATGAGTACACAAAACAAAAAAATTCATGCAATTAGGATGTTAATCTTGGATTGATTGCCATGAAAGATAATCCTATCGGAACTTCAGCTTTCTAACACCAAAGCATTTTAATCAAATAAAATCCAGCAGTGTTTGAAAGACAAACACAGCTATTTTTTAATATGTACATGTAATAGCATATCAAGAGATTCTAAGAAGGTGAATATGATTGTCAGTAGATGTTTGACATGTATAACAGTTGTCCTATGTTGGGGCATTTAAAGTACTTGATAGTACTAGAGTGGTCGACAAAATATAATACATGTATGTGTTTGCTGTATTTTTAGTGCAAAGCATGTTGTCATTGCTATTTTAAATGAATGTTCAGTATTAAATCTTGGCCAATGTCAAGTTAGTTTTATCTGCATGTATTTATACATGTACAATATTGTTCATGTCTATTTCAACAAATATTTCCATGTAAAAGTTGTGTCATTTTAGAGCTATTGAATCCATATCCTTTCCATTTGAATGACTTTTTCTATGATGTCAATGTTGTATGCATGTTTATGTGATAATGTGTGAGGGAAAAATATAAGGATTAATAGATGTTATCTTCATGTGCGGTCTTTGCTGTAAAACTCATGTACATATACTTGTGAACAAATTGTTTTTTGTATTATTAGTGTGTTAAGCTGCATTTACTTGAGCATTTCACTTCAGCAAGAGTTAATCACTTCAGCAAGGTGCTTTAAATATACATGTATGTAGGTGCAATTTTCTATATATGCCAGTTTTCTTTGCCAGTTGTGTAAATAAGTCTGTGTTGAGTCAGAAATGGTTGTGAGTTGGTTATTTTTTTGAAATTTTGCTTTATTAGTTTACATTTGTTTTTTCCCCTGATTTTTTTCATTCTAATTTTAGTTCCTTTAATATTTTTACATTTTTTTTCTCTGGTTTTCTGTTGTGATCTTTGTTACTTGATCTTTCAATATCTGGTTAATGAAACAAGCAAAAACTAAATAAATTTCTTTTTTCATTGACAAGCAGGGTACTTTGAGATTAAAAAGTGAATTTGATAATGGTTGTAGTTATATGATGTAATTTTTTTTTACTGATTTTTAAAGGGCTCTGTTGCTATTTTTTGTGCAATAGGTTCCTTGTCTCTTTATTTTATTGTTACACTTTTTTTAAGTTCTAATGGCTTTACAGCTTTAGTAGTTTACATATTCAGATTATAGTGTTGTGAAACATTAGTTTTTACCATGTTTATCACCATCTTGAATATTTTTTAATGAAGATTTAAATTAAAAGTACGCAAAAACATTTATTTAGAGTTGTCTTTTCCAGCTTTGAAGTTTGCTATCACCCAGTAGAAAAACAGCCGGATTAAAGTTACTTTATGTAAGGGTTGTAGTCCATAGATCTCGTTATGTAAAAAAAAAATACGTATTCTAATATCTATAGGTGTGCTGTTTTTAAACATGTATGTTTTTGCCTGTACGTTTTACAGTAATATTTAGAATGGATGATTGAATACTGAGTGTAGAACAAGAAAAGAAATTTGTACCGTGATTTGTCAATCGGTTAATTACAATCTAACTAGACGGTATAGCAGTATATTTCGGTCATGGATTTTTGTCCCCCGCTATCGCGAAAGTGAGGGGACATAAATCTCATTTTTCTGTCCGTATGTCAGTCTTTAATTCTGCCAGTCAGTCCGTCCGTCACAGAAACTTTAACCTTTATCACATCTTTGAATTAGAAGAGATGGGGCTTTCATATTACATGTATGCATGTATATTACCTGTGACAAGATCTTTCTAAATGCATTATGATTTTTGACCTCCTTGACCTTGAAATTCAAGTTTGACCTACTTTTCATAAAATAAACATTACTTTGAGTTAGGCCATAATTAACTTTTGAACGAGAAGAGAAAAGGCTTTCAAATTAAACATATGTGTTTTATCTATGACAGGACCTTTCTAAATACACTAATTTTTGACCTCTTGACCTTAAAGTTTGACCCACTTTTCAAAAACTTTTCAAAAATTTTTCCTTCTAACTTTTGATTAAGAAGAGGTAGGACTTTCATATTTGACATGTGCATTACGCGTCAGTGTGACAGGATATTTCCGAGCATGTTATGATTTCTGACCCCCTGACCTTCATGATTGACCTTATTTTCATATTTAACACGATATGCCATAAAAATGACATCTCACCCACAAGGACACCGAAAGTGCGGATCAAAATTCTTTAAAATTGCTTCTAAAGTTTTAATTTGCAGTATAAAAAAGGAGATCTAACCTTGCAAGTTATATATCGGAATATTTTTATCTTTTATTTTATTCATGTTGAAATTTTGCAAACAATATAATTTTAAAATAATATCAGTTTAGTATATAGCGAATTGTCTTAAACGTCTTGACACAGTAAAGAACTTGCAACTGTTGAAAAACAGCAACTGTAAATTTTCCATCTCATGCAACTAACCTACTGTGCAAGATTACTTAATTCTTCATAATTTTAATTTCGATTTTTATTCGGAAGCATATTGTGATGACATTTGCATTACTACCGATTTCTTCTTGCAATATACTTTGTCTGAAGACGTTGGAAACTTTGAAAGATTATTTCAGCGAATCTTAATTCTCATTAGAGAAACCTACAAAAACCGATTCCTCTCGAGAAAAAATAAAAAGGATGGATACAAAAGGGAAAATAATATAGATCTAATCTGTGATTTATTTATTTTTGGAAACTTAATTTATAGGTTTCTATACTGGATTGAGTTTTTTTCTTCCTAAAGTGCACTGCCATGAACTATGTCTAACCTTTCCAACATCAGTTTATAAGCTTCCGGGGTTTATTGAAATAATGAATAAATGTTTACCAGAGGACACATGGGACCTGTGTTATCATGTGTGCATGAATATACATATAAAATGCCGTGTAGCAATTGAGCCTTTTAATCGATATGTTTATGGTACCTGCGTCTTATCAATTAAAAATGTGAAAGTACATGTCATTTCTCTGCCCTCAAAAGACAGAGAAAAAATTGGATTCAGTTTGCAAAGAAATATAATGTACATGTGACATCATAATTATTTAGTTAAAGACTATGTATATTTTTAGCAGATAACAATCCTGGATTAAAAGGTTTTTGTATGCAGAATTATATACATGTATTTCTGCCCTCCGGTTATACATGCGGTGTTCGTTAAGACATTAACCAGTTAATGCCTACATGTAGAAAGTGCTTACATCGATGAAACACGGCGAAAAAAAATTTCACACTGCTTCAAGGTCTACATCAAAAGAAGAAACACGAAAACATTTAACATTAAGTTTAATTGTTATATTCACACATATGGAAGACCAGAGATTTTTATTCACATGCCGACTTTGATTTTCTTTAACATGCTTGTCTTTTGAACACATACATTATCCTCAATTCTCAATAGCAGCTTACATTTACATCATACAAAAATACTAAACTTTCTTACTTTTTTGCACTCAGCTACACTAAGCCCAGACATACTGTATATAATATCTCAAAAGAGTTGATTTCTACAAAATCAAACACATTTACCGGTATTTTTTGCTAAGTTCGGATGTAATATACTTGAAGAAAGTGCAGTTAATAGAATATGATAAATAAATACCTGAAAGAAAATTCTTAATGAAAACAATGAATTTTGCTTTACGCACAAAACAAAAAAAAATCGCGGTGTACAATTTGTGTCTTGGACTCTCTGTCTTTGGCAAGCTTCAATGAAACAAGGTCACACATCGATAAATAATGTAATGTATATAAACTATATATAAAAATCATCACGTATAAATAAATACTGCTAAGAATTAGCCTATGTACATAATACTGACTAGAAGTAAATCACAAACTGTCAGGCAGTGTTTGTCTTTGAGCCATTATTTGGCCATAATGATTAGACCTGGAAAATCTAATCGAACACAGCGCGCTTTCAGCACTAAATATAGAAGCAGTTCACTTTGGACTAAATTTCGTGCATGGTGGACTGTTAATGTCTTTTGATGACTGATGGATGAAGTTTGGCACATCCTTTGCATTTTACTTGGTGGTTTTTGCAGTTAAAAGTATTCATAGTCACACCTGAAATGAAAAAAATATGAAGAATTATTAACTGCATGTAAATCCACTAAAACATGCAAGTTTACAAGACATGTTGAATTATGCATTGTCATTAAACTCATTTTACATTAATTGAATAAATAAAATTATTAGATTAATATCTAAATTTCATTGTATTTCTACATGCAGTACAATTTATAAAACGTTTCATGCATATAAACAGCGAGTACATTCCAAAAGCATCTACAATCTTTTAAAATAAGAATCAATTCAATGCAGCAAAGTGGCAAAAAAACATGATTGCAAATGTATATATACAGGAAAGTGGAAATATTCGTTAGAATATAGAGCAAAGTTCCATAGGAAACAACAATAAAGAGTTGTATTAGAAGAAAAGTTGACACAAGGGAAGTTGCAAACGACAAGCAAACGAATACGGCAAGCACGTGCAAGGATACCTCACGATAGGGGCGGAAATATTTCCATGGGCGTGTTCGATTCGATTATTTATTGTTTCTCTATTAGACACCGGGTAATCGGGTGGGATTTCTCGTGTGACATCTGTAAGCCTTTGACTTCGCCTGGTATATCGTGGTGGTATGTCGTTCACTGCTTGTCTGTACGAAGTTCTACGGGTATTGTGATGCCTGCCCGGGTAGTCGGGCGCGGGGGTGTAAGGCGGGGGTCCGTCCTCGTTTAAGAGACTGGGTGGGATGTCACACCATGCCCTTCTACCCCCTTCGTTCCTCACAAAAGAATAAAGTCCTTGCTCAGGATGATAAATTACATCTTGATAATGATCTTGATTTTCTGTCGCAGTAGGAACACTATTGGCCGTGCTTTCAGTCCGATCTCTTGCACGTGCCAAATAAGGGTAATCATAATTTCTTGTTCTGATATTCTGTCGTGATACACAATTTCTGTCAATGTAATTGTCTGACAGATTACTGTCAGACGGCAATCTTTGACTAGATTGACTTACATTCTCAACAATGTTCGTAGAAGCTGCACTTGGTGAGTGTCTTGGTACAGAGTCTGAATTATGCACAGCCAAAACGCGTGGATTCTGGGAAATTTGTTCACTAGTCTGAGTAACCACCACTTCTGAAGAAGCAGTAGAGGTCACTAGTTCTGGGGACCTATTTGTTGCAGAAAATAAATTACTAACCGGGTTTCCTGGACGTATTGGTGTCATCTCTGGGGTCCTCGTTGTCGTCTGCGCATTAGCTGCCGCTGGAAGAGTATCAGTATTCCCCACGACTTCGTTGTAGGGTGGAGGTTGAAGGTCATTGCTGGTGGGGGTGGCGTACACGGAGGATCGAGGACATTCACCCTCATTTCCGCGTATAATGGGGATCCATGTCCAAATTTCGTCGTAATTGGAGTATCCCTGATTTAAGCGACCATCTCGAGGATTGGCGCGTCTGGGGTCAATCCGCAAAACACGTGACCTGAATATACAAATATCATGTTTACTTTAGAAAAATGAAAAATTACATCTTATATATATCACTGGCCAATGAATCAATAGTTCTTTCCAAAGCAAAGCAATTTATTATCATATAAATCCAAAAGGAGAACATATTATAACATTTAATATATGATTTATTTATATAATAAAAGCAATTAAAATGCGATGATTAAAATTATTTTACCCATTTGCACACTGTGCTCCAGTTTTCTTGTTGTTTCTGAGAATGCAGACCAGCAGAATTAGGAGGGTCATTAACAGGACCCCTCCTGCCACCCACAGGATGATAATGACCGTCTCTATTTTCACTTCGTCTCTAACAATAATACCAGTACCATTCTTAGCTGCATTATCCGAAATATCTGAAACAAACACTTTCATATTTATAAGGATTCAAACCTTAGCTCAATACCACTTTCACAAAATTAAGATTGTCGTTGCACATTTTACATCCCCTAAAAATGTTATCACTTGGATATGGAATATAGCCCTATGCGGCTAGAACCATAATCCTTCGAAGTTACGATAAAAACCGAATATCATCCGTTATACACAGGTATGACCCCCGCTGTTCCAAGGCGGGCTGATATTGGTATATTTTATTGACCAACTGATAACTGCAGTATACAACTGCCCAGTCATAAATATTCCATAAATGGTCGTAAAATGCATGTGGTATGCTAGTTAGTGTACACCATTGAACATTTCGTCGCTGTTATATAGACATGGACATGGGAAAATATGAAGACCAACAGATTCGAGCGACCATATTATTTTTTTTTTCATTTAATAGATTTTATTTTTGTGAGACTTTTTATCATAGACCTTGTATAGATCATGTAGATGTATAGTTAGTAACAATGTTCAGCACTGATCAATGAAGTTTAGTCTCTGGATTCGAACGTACGTTGATACACACATGTAAAGCTTAATGCGGTCATTGATGTTAAGTTTACATAAATATATAGAGGCTAATTATGAGTTTTATATACACTGTAGTTTATATAGAGATTTAGATTGTATAACGTAGAAAGTTTAGTTCGCGACAAAAATATCTTCCGTTAAATTTGATACAGGAATTAATAACGAAAGAAGAACCTCCAAAGGAAATCTGTAAGTTTGAATAAAGTAAAAAATAATCTTAAAATCAAATTAAATTCAAATTTGAAAAAAAAAGAAATATTAAAGATTGTGTGTTTAAATACTAGATCACAATCCCCGAAAAACCACAAACTCACCCGAAAACAGAAGTCTATTCCATGTGACTGGCATGATGTTATAATAACGATGTTACACTGAATTATAATGAGCACAATAACCTTAAAAACACAACAGCCTAAAAGACCATGAATTTATATATATATCAAAAAGAAGTCGATGAACTCGAGTTTATCCCACTTTCCGCGTTGATCCCAACTGTCAGAGTAGCTGATGCAGATCGACGGACCCTAGTGGTCAATATTCGCTCGGACCTTCAATCCCCGAGGTCCTGCAATCCATCAAGCCGGACTCACGCGCAACAACACACCCTGGGGAGAGCGGCGCGATCTTTATCATATTCATATCTCATCGCAGGTGGGCATTTGTACTCCATCAAATTTGTCAAACGATTATGAGGTGATTGTAAATAATTTAATCCTTTTTTTATTTGTATATGGACCGTGGCTAGGTTTATCAGTTCTGTTTAGTTTATATATAACCTTATAGAGTTTGTAGTCTACACCAACTACAGAAGAGTTACTGCACCAAAACTTTTAAACAAAGAGAGTAGAATTAAATTGTACCCTTTTATATAAAACATGAGGTTAAATTCGGTGTGAAACACGAAGAAAATCTGGTGTCTTTCACTGGCCTGAGGGGATCGTTAACTAGTTGTCTTTTTTCTATTTAATGTTTCTTAATGTTTTTTGACCCTTCGTTCTTGTTAGCGGAAGTTTTATGATGTTAAGGTCTGTGTAAATTTTTATTTTAAATCTTGATTTCATTTACGTGCTTTTTAGGTTGTTTGATGTTTAATGACACGGAAGCGATCATCAAATTTTCGAGACTTTAATTGTTATTTAAAACTTTACAACTTCAGTATTGCGTTCATTCTGCTTTCTCTTATTTTAATTCTAATATAAACAAAGCGTTACATTTTGCACTTAAAATCCGTTTTAAAATCACCCCAAGGAAAATTCTATCATTTTAACATCTTAACTTTATTTTGCTTATATGTGAATAACTTTATGTAAATATTCTAATTTTAGGTTTAAAAATGTATATTTTATGGAGACAAATAGCATTCAGCATCTCTTACGCACATCCCCCTCCCGATAAAGATCGCATCTCATTGGTCGGGTCAAAACACCCGCGGCACGTGATCTATTCCGGAGATCCGACACACGTGGGAAACCAGGATGCCCATCAAATATCGCGCGCAGACACACCATACATTTCTTGGGGTATCTTGTGGTCTGTAGATCTTAGATAGTGGATTACATGTTAATATGGAAAAACAGATACACTATTTTTCTGGAGGGCGTGTGACATATATGTGTAGTTTGTTTTGATCTTATTCTGAATAAAACATACATTTTTTTTAACGGTGAAACCGGATTGTGCTCTTCATTTGTCTTCAAAGAAATTACACTTGTTTAACCCGACATTAAAATGTAAAATGTTTTTAAAAGTGTGGCTTAAGGTTATAATTTTATCAAAAGATTATACATAACGCGTCTTGTCAGTTTATATTTTAAAGATTACAAGTATTTTGATGAGTAACAGCAACTTTCTTTAAAACAATAAAATGGGTAAAAATACTTGTAATTAAACTTTAGAAGGGGTTTTCTACCCTGAGTACGTCAATATTACATTCTTCCTTGCCAAAGTAAATAAATGATTTTATATGACCTAACTGATATAAATTAACTTAAAATAATATAGATTAGACTGCGTATCGCAATACGATTTTGAAATATCGATATATTGGCAATATGCTTAGATTAAGGTATTTTGTCATTAAAATGATTAAATATAAAAAAGGACTTGTGAAAGTTTGTGATTAAGCCAAACTTGTGAAAGTTTGTGATTAAGCCAAACAGTAAGAAGTTGTTTTGTGGAAACATTTAAAAATCTTTAAACATATCGGTAATTTCAAATATTCTATAATTACAGTAACCAAAACATAAACTTACTTCTTAGACCTAAATCTTCCATAATATTCCGTTACCCTTTTGAAGTTAACGGGCATCTGTAAAAACTGACACTGACACTATCCTTACAAAGCCAAAAGGTTTTAAGCCCCTAAAAATTCATTATTCGTCACTGCGGGTATCTAATGCAAGGAAGCGCTGGACCAGACTCTAGACCCAGCATCCGCTCGGTTGTCACGCTGACGGGCTTTAGAAGGAAACCATCTCCTTCACTGCCAGCTTATCTCCCTTTGCACAAGAAACAGCAGGGTATGTACAAGATAAGAAGGAAATGGCGAACAAGATACTTAGGGGTGTCAGGCCTGTTGTTTATGTTTACACAGTCTGTCTTATATCGATGTATGAATAATGTTTATCTACTTCCATTGTGCAATGGATCCCTAATGAACTAATAAAAAGATGTTTTGCATAGTTGTCTGTAGCTCTGGCATCTTTTAGTACTTTGTTTTCATGCTTATGACTTGCAGAAATTGGGAAATTGGGACTTTATACGGAATGGTCAGTGTTTTACTTCGTTTGCTTTTCTATTAGGGCACGTGCACGTCCCCAAGAAAAAGAACAATGAAAGCCGTTTAATTGTTCTCAGCAAATTTCGCCAGATGCGGGGGAACGCTTGGATATCCCGGCGATGCACTTCATGTTTGACACCGAAACAAAAGCGTGTAAACGACAGTGATTATTTTTTCGCTCCTAATCAATTTTAGGCGTATAATTTTATTTAAGCGTTTAGTCTTCTTTTGATATGATAATTGTGTCTGAAGTTCAAAAGTTGCCTCTCTTTTGTTCTTGCTCTGAATCATGCATGAGTAACTGTCCTTCTGTCATGGAAATTGTTGAAGTTTGTTAAATTAAACCCCCTATAGCAAACTAGCTTCGCTCAAGTAGAAAATACACCATTTGTTTTTAAAATTAATTAAATATCTTCGACTGTAGGAGTATGACAAGTTTAGTTAGACACAAAGATAAAAAGGATTTCAAAGGAATACGAAAAGTGACAAACATACAGTAATTTAACCCTTTGTATTTCGAAGGATTTTGTGGGGTTTTTTTTTCTATTAAACTCTTCAAATCACAGTTCGAGGCGCTTGCAGTATGAATTTTATTATTATTTTTCCTGTAAGATTCAAATAAAAACTGAATAACTGTAAGATCTATATGTGAAGTACGTTAGACAAAGACTATATGCAGTATTCAATGGTTTCGTTGGTTGATTTAATAATCACGAAGACCCTAGCTTTAATCCTATTTTATCCACATATATTTGCCCTTAGATGTATCTTGTTAAACAAATACTGTTATTGAACAGGAAACGTGTGGTTTCACTAAAGAAAGCACCTCCTCCATTTAAAGGCGTATCCTTGGTTTACTTTGAGTCCATCTAGGGGAATTAATTTTCAATAAAACTGACATTATGTCCTAATTTGACAAGGTAAATTGCATACCTGTGCTGTTTACCTGCGGTTCATTAACTTCCCGTTAGAATACACGTGCGTGCGGGGGAGATATAGTTCAATTACACGGACGATTTACTGTAATAAAATTTCGAGACACGATTATGGTTTTATTGTGATTTTCCCTATAAACCTAACTTTAATTACATTGTTAAAAATTGGGATAAAGTCAATTACATTAAAAATTACAAAATATTTTGAAAACGCTAATCAATTCTAAAAGATAAGCAAGGTCCATGTCAAAACATGAGCTCCGTGTGTAACCCCTCCCTTGAGTTTTATATTCTTAGCTAAAATACGTTTACAGTTTACTCAAAATCTAATCCTCTCCCAACAGTTTTCCCGCTGTGTATATCCGTTATTTTCACAGTTTACATAACTGTGACCAATGATTCTATATGTAATGGTTAATTTTGCGGACATAATACCATCACACGTATCAATCGATCTGGCGGGCAGATGCTGCCACGATTTCTTGAACTGGGAATACACGTGCTACGTTTATTATTTATTTGTTTAGTTAGATCGATGCTTTCTTCTTAATCTGGGCTCATCTTCTCCTCTCTTCTCTCATTATATGAAGAGGCCTTTCATTGTCGAGGCTCGGGTAGCATGCCCTTTTCCCAGATGCATTTGATCAATATTCAGAAAAGGCTATAGTTGACATGGCAACTCAGTGAAATAGACAGCGGGGATTTATATCTATATTTCACGTTATCACATCAAAAAGAGGGGGAAAAAACTAATTAATATCAATATCCATAAATAGGCCTCCGTAAAAAATCTCAATTAATTATCGGTTTCATTTACTATGAGCAAGCACATCGAAATACCACCGCACTGTATTGCATTTTTAAAATTGCATTTCAAAATAATATGATTAATTGTGTTCTAGTATGATGTTCATCTGTCGAATATAGTGATGTTTACCTATTAATGATGATGTTTACACAAAATTCATAAATGGAATGCACAACGTTGTGTATTTCAAGTTCGTGAACTCATCAGGTGTAGCAAATGCACTTTTTGACAGTGACAAGTTTATTGCAAGGTATACAGAACTATTACCCCACGGTTATGAGTAAACAAGATTGTACAACATCAAATCTTTTATGATTCACATCCTCGTCAAGATAAATAAAAGATATACAGAGAGAGAGAGAGCGAGAGAGAGAGAATTTAACATGCAACATATCATTTTTATCTTCTATGTAATTTGCACTTATATGCTACATAGCAGTAAGTTTTTCCTTTCAGAAATAAAAATTTAAAACATGTTTACAGATACATGCAATTTCAATTCTGCCTATTTCTTTAATTATAATAGGCATAATCATTATATAAATTTTAAAATATCCTTTCAGTAAACTTACCCAATTTTCCATTCGCCATTTTCATTCAAGAACAAGATTATTATATTTGTCCGTCTCTCCATCAACACTTCAGTTTCATTTATAGTACAGAGACATATCATCTAATGCATGTCATCATAGCCACACGCCGAGGGAAAAACTCGTCATCTGATTGGCGAACAGTGGAGCGTGTCGAATACTTCGCATATTATCGGCAGCATCTTTCCCGGCACAAATTCGGACGTTGACACAGTCACCCCAGCATTACACCGTCCGGTAAAGTGCGTCGTTTTAGGTCACACAAAGCGCAGAATTTCCCATTCAGTGAAACGTACATAGCCCTTTGTGATGCAAGATAAAGTTTGTCACAAAGACAAACCTAGCCCCTATAACTATTAAGCAATTTGTCATTTCATAGGCAGATGAAATCAGCCGAAATTATAAAAGTCAATTTAGGTTAATCTATCCTCAAGATGTGACACAATGTTTTAACGATTTTAAAATGTTTCGGTCAATGGTCTTTGCTATAGGTGCATACCTCTCTCTCTCTCTCTCTCTCTCTCTCTCTCTCTCTCTCTCTTTTCTAGAATTGCTGAAATCATCCAGTGTATTTTTCAAAATGATTATGACAAAATAAGATTATAACTTTACTTTTTTTAATTAAAAAAATAAACGAACTTTGTATCTTATAAAACAATTTCTTCTGTTGGTTTGCAAAAAATTTTGAAGCTAAGCGATTTGATCCTTCATAAAAACTGCATAAATACAAGTTCCAGGCGATTAGTATTACTTTATGCCACACCTTTCCCCCTCTTTTTTTAAAAAAAAATTGCTTAACATCATTATTTTTTTTAAAATAAAACACTAGAGGTGCTGTGAGCAATGAGCTCACTAAATGATACCCCTGCCTCCCATATGGTTTTAATGACATGTAAAAAATTAAAGAATCTGTGAAAGTATCATAAAATTTTGTCCAGTGGTATAGGAGGAGTTGCGGATAAGAGATAGGTACCCTTCAATACTACAGAAAAAATGGCAGTGTCAATGTTTTGCTCTGGAAACCCCAAATTATGTGTCCGATCAAAAAGTAAAATAGGAGGTGCACAATGGCATTATATAAAAAAGATTCTGTGAAAGTATCAGCAAATTTCATTCAGCGGTATAAAAGGAGGAGCAGATAAGAGATGGATACCCCAAGCGTTACAGACAGACAGACGGACGGACATTCCGATTACTATATACCCTCCCGGTTTTCAAGCGGGGGTATAATAAAAGTGAACTTGAAACGACGAAAGTCCTTCTATCTCTTTAAATGCTTATTGAAAAAAATCTTCCCCGTGGAACATTTTATGTTGCATTTCACTGAGAAATTTTAATGTAGGAATATGTCTTTATACCCTCCGCTTGAAAATGGGAGGGAATATGGAATCGGTATGTCCGTCCGTCCGTCTGTACGTCCGTCTAGTTGTACGTCTGTCTAGCTGTCTGTACGTCCGTCTGTCCATCTGTCTGTTACGTTTTGGGGTACCCATCTCTTATCCGCAACTCCTCTTATACCACTGAGTGAAATTTAATGAAACTTTAACAGAATCTTTATTACATATTGCCATTGACCTAGATAGTCAAAAAGGCAAGAAATATACATCAGGTTTAATAAGAATTAACGCACACACACACACACACACAGAGAGAGAGAGATGAAGAGACTCGAATTAAAAGCTAAACCATGACAAAGGTGATATAAATTAAACATTCACGTTTTCAAAGGCTACTTTACCAAAATAAACCACGACTGCTCTTGCTATCTAAATCGACTTTTTTTTTCAATATATTTGCTGATTTTAGAGGTACTGTGAGCAATAAGTTCACTAAATGAAATCACCCACCTCCCATATAGTTATAATTATGGCACGCCAAATTCACAAAAATGAGCAAAACATAGTTTCACAGTCGATAAACTAGGTTTATCGGTTGTAAACTATAGTTTACGGACTGTAAACTATAGTTAACGACGTTAATCTATATTTTACATCTGTAAACTATAGTTAACGCGATAATCTATGTTTCAGAACCGTAAACTATACTTAACACCAAAAACAATCATTTGCGATTGCAAAACATAGATTATCTGATAAATACAGTTTCAAGATTGTAAACTATGGTTTACAACTCTTATCTATAGTTAACGATCATAAATTATAGTTTACAGACGTGAATCTATGTTTATCAACAAAATCTACTGTTAACGTTTTATTACAGACAGATGAACTTAGATTAGCATTCGTAAACTATAGTTAACAACCGTTAAATATAGTTTTACAGATGAAAACTATACTTAACGAATTGTAAACTATAGTTCACGGTTTGTAAACTATAGTTTACAGTCGATAAACCTAGTTTATCAATTTTGAAACTATATTTAGCACGCCAAATTCACAAAAATGAGCTAATCATAGTTT